GGAAAAATAGGGGACTCTGAACAGTTCACTCCTTCCCTTAATTAGCGTCTTCTCTCGCGTGCGTTTACTTCGTTCGCGCGTGCGGGCGTAACACACTTGCTCACGCAATAATCTGAGCGACAGCTAGCAGCCTAGGACTAAAGTCATAATCGAAAGTTCTCATTTTCTTTTAGATACCTGTTAAAACCAGGATTGAGCTCGGCTCACCAGGGGAGGTCATTTGCAAGGTCGCCAAGGAAGAAAACGTCACGTGTATCTTACTGGGCAATCGTGGACTCGGTGCCTTCAGAAGAACCATGTTAGGAAGTGTTAGCGATCACGTGGTTCACCATTCACGATGTCCGGTTATAATTGTACCACCGCGAAGTGAACACAAATCTTGAAGGCCAAACTAGTCAAACTGGCTTGTATTTCTTATTAGTAAAATCCAACTAGTGGTCTATTATCAATGCTGCGTTCTGATTGGTTGAGCTACTACTAGGCTATATGTTATAGCCCACTAGTAGCGAAAGCGCCGGTTTTTTGGCGGCAAAAAAGGATGAAAGTCTAGCTTTAAGTAGCTAAAACCTTTTTATTCTCGATGTTTTTGACCAACTAGTCAGATTTTACGAAAACAATTATTCCTCTCGCCCTCATTGCCTCTGAGTCAATAGCCCATTCGGCCTTTGGCCTCATGGGCTATTGACTCAGAGCCCATTCGGGCTCGAGGAATAATTGTTAAGTATATGGGTTTTTGTAAGAATTATATGCTTAATCGAAATGGCGTTTTAGCTTTTCAAGGCCTTTTATTTTGTATGGGGCGAATCATGCGTCTTAACTCGCCGTTACATAGTGTCGGCTGACACATCTTCGGCCTAAGGCTGAAATCCAGCGAGGCGTGCGCAAACTCTGCATGAAAAGTTCCTAGGCCTGAAGTAATACGAGAGGTTGATTATAACTGTAACAACAATGTATTTTATTCAAGGTCCATGAAGCTTACAATACTTAATGCCCTGCAAATAGCTATAGCGCTAATCTAGGCAGGACAAAAATTGTAAGTAAAGGCGTTATTAAATTATATATTTAAAAAAAAGGAAAAGAAAAGAAATACAACAACACATAGAATGCAAAATGTGACGGGTAAAATTACAATTAAAAAAATAGTCAAAAAATAGTCAGTGATACATTTTTTTTCACGTCTGTTTGTGGTGGACTATTGTGAAACATAGAAGGGATCAATTTTGTCAGGATTTTGACGAAATTTGACAACCTTCTTTTACAGCAGCCTATTCCAGGCGTTCGGATAGTGGAGTAAAACGCGAAGTGAGAGAGCGAGGAAATTATGAGGAAAAGAGGGAGCGGGAGAGCTTTTTCAAAACCCTGCTCTCATCTGCCTGCGCCGCGCCCACAATCTGAAAACCTGAAACAGGCTCCCTTTACAGACACACGTAACAGAGGGGCTTGAGTAATCTTGTACCCAGATCTCCCACGGCCAAAAACAGAGTGAGATCTGGGTACGAGATTAGGGCTAGAGCAGATAAACAGTGCATGATTCTTTGCCTCCGAAATTTTTATTTTTTTGTAACAGCAGGGATATTCAATAGTGACACTAATTTCAGCACAGAAGCACACTCTGCCGACTCCGCGATATGGCCAGTACCTAACGCATGCGCACAGTTATATCACCCGGGCAGTGACAGCGATCGACTCAAGAGTAGTATGAAATGTCAGCCGTCTCCAGGTCTCCCCTCCTAACACGAGGGGAGGGGGGGTGGGAGACAGAGACAACGTGTGTTAGGTGGGAGGGATGACAGGGCAGTCTGTTGCACATATTTTGTTACAATAGGACAATTGCACAATGACGTCATTTCACTACAACTACCAGAATCCTTCAGTTTGCTGTTTTCTTGTGCAAGGTAGAGCTATTGTTTTTTAAACCGCAGAGGGATTGACAAATTTAAATAAGAAAGCAAAAATGAAAAGAATTCTGGTAGTTGTAGTCAAATGTCGTCATCGTGAAAATGGACTACTGGTGAGGAAGAATGTCATTCGTAAAACCTGGCATCTGTCATGTTGAGCTTTGCCCCTTTTGTCAACTGTCATATCTCTTTTACAACAAGATTTTCATCAATTGCCGCTACGACAAGATTCATTAGATTCTTAACATGTGCGACCACAATAGCCCATTTCAAGAACATGTCTTCCAGGCTTTAGGGACAAAAATTCTTTCACGACTCTGTTGTCCTGCAGTTCCCAGAGGAGAAGTGAGCACAAAGAAAACCAAACCAGATATGGAAATATGACCAGAAAGCATCGGATTCATGTTAGCATTTTAATATATCGAACGTGGGCTATTTGAAATTAATTTATTAATTTATTCTTGCAGTGGATGTGAACTTTGCAAATTAAACATGGCCACCAGCAAACCTATTAGCTCTGAATAAAAACGATTTCTGAATGCCAAGACAAAATTCAAAAGTTTGAAATTTTACGATTGCCAAAGCATTTGCTGTGACTCCCCTTCAACTTAAAATTCGAAAACAAAAAATAATTATCATAATTTTTTGCCTGATGAAAAGTTTTCCATTTTCAATTTTCCGTGCGATCCACCATGACTGAAATACAAGTATCTCCATTTTTCTTTTAATTATTTATTTCGTAGAAGGCCTCTGTTTGGGTTGCTAATCGTATTCAAACGGAAATCATTATCAAGGGAAAAAAGTAAATAAGACCAGGTATTTGTCTCCGGTTCGTTTGATACTATCGAAACTGAAATTTTGCATGTAGACTGGCGCGTCCAGTAGATCAAGATGCCTTCGACTAATGGTACAAGAACTATACTGATAGCAGTCGATGGGAGCGAATACAGCGAAAAAGCGTTTGAATGTAAGTAATACAAAAATCGCTATAAACATTATGCATTTACTAGAAATATTGATAGATTTAAAGGCCTGTCAGGCCTTTTCGCGATTCAAAATGGCTATATTTTATTTTATTTGCATTTTTTTTTTGCTTTGGGTTAAACTTTCTTTTTTTTGCTGTTGTTGTTGTTTTTTTTAGCAAAGATACAAAAAGGTAAATTCATATTGACACTAGTTAACCGGAAGAATTCTTGAAACACAACAGAAATGAAACTGAATATAAACCTGACATGCCATGTGTATCGCGAAAAAAAATGCCAAAAACCTGCATTTTCACTTTTTATCTGTTAGTGGTTTCATTTGAGCGCCCGGTCTTGCCCAAATATTCCGGTATTTTTTCCATAAGAAAAGAAAACTGCTTTTAAGTAACAAATAAAAACGTGCCATAGTTCATGGGCTACAAATATTGCTCGACCACAAAGGAACAAAGTATGTAAATGAATACATGCATAATTTCCTACGCTAGTCAAGCCCTAATAGCGGGCTAATTACACCATTTGGGTTTCTGAATGTCTATGTTGTAAGAAAAAAATCCTCAAATCCTAGGTGCTACAGTAATAAGCCGAAGGTATGTTCCACAATAACATTAACATTTTCTCTACATGAAATGACAGAGTCGGTTTGCTTCGCTACACCCATGCACTTAACTCCCGATCGGGGTGCAGCCTATAGCTCTGTTTGACCAAGGTTTTACCGTAATCCGCAGAGTTTTTCTGGAAGAACTGTAATTTACCATGATATCTTTAGTCGTTAGCGTTTAGGTCCGTGAAAGAAAGCACAAACTGTGTTCATTCAGTGAAAGAGATCGGAAGAAAACGAAGATTGTATTTGTTATGGTCATAGCTTTTATTGCCCTTTAATTCACGGTAAAAGTGTTGTGGTATTGTCTCATTATCGCCACATTTATGAAAAATAAAACAGTATAATTTTGTATGGGCATTAATAAATAGACCGCCTTTTACTTGTGACGTTACTTGAGGCATGTCGAGGGCGTACAACGTTTTACACACAAAAAAATTCGTTCACAAACAGAATTTTGTCAGTGAACTCATTAGAAAAGTACTCTCTCCGATTCCCCGTGCTGCAAGGGCACAAACACAAATATTTAAGACGGTTTTTGGCAGTTGAATTAGTTTTCCCATTTTTAATTTTCATTTGCAGACATAACCATGATTAGCATTTCATATTTTCATAACACCATAATTGTTTTTCACTACAACACTGCGCGTCACCTGCACAGAGAAAGCGGCGAAAGCAGGTGAAATTGTCGGAGGGGAGTCGTCCATCTCCGAAACTTTCCGACGGATTGCATAAAGACTTTTCCTAGACTTTTTACTTGTTGAGAAGTCTACAGTTGAAATGTAGCATACAAAATTAAGCGAAAATCCCTAGTAAGTGCTCTTTAACGAATCGATCAATTATCAGTTATTTTCCGTCAGACCTTCGAGATGGTTACGCGCACCTTCTTGGTTTCAATGGATGTGCCGAGTCTAACCGTGAGAATAGTATCAAATCAACCAAGGGGGTGGTGGTGGGGGATGAAAAATATTTTTCTTGCCTTCCTCCGTCTGCTGCTTAACCCCAATCCCCCCTTCCCCCCGCCTTCCGCCTCGACTCGCGACGATCTTAAGGAAAAATAGGGGACTGTTGACATTCAAAGAGATCTCCGTGTTCAAGGGCATGAATAGGATAGAAGGTCTTACCAATAAATCGTTCCGCAGTTGTAAACTTTTATGCAAATGAAGATAAATTGCTTCCACAAAATTCGTATGATGTAATCATTCTTTAATTGTCATTTTTTCGGTGACTTTAAGTATGATTATGATAACAACTATGCGAATAATATTATAACTATGATTATGATTCTAATTTTTGAGTGTAATCATGATTTTCCGACATTCCATTTACAAACATTGTCATTGCATTACAAAGGGCGCAGACTATTAAAGGTTTTATTCCGTATCAGAGAGAGCCTTTCACGACTTCAGCGTCATTTATTTTACAATATAAAAAAAACACAGTACGTTGGGTGTGCTATATGTTTTCTCGATAACTTACAGGGTACGCAGATAGATTCCGTCAGGCTGAGGATCAAGTTGTGTTTGTACATGTGTACGAAGCAGCCATTACTCCACCTCCGACGTTTGCACGTAAGAGACAAGAACAATAAAAATAGAATCTATCTATCTAGAGTCTCCCACTAGCAACTAATTAAGGTAAACAAGAATTCATAAGAAGTGAGACAGCGAGTAGATAAAAGGCAAGAGGGAAAAGTCCTCTTATCTTTTTCCTTCCCATTAATTTCCCACTCGTTTTCCCAGTGATTTTGTGCCCTTTAATTTCCCATTTGTCCCATTAATTTCCCACTCGTTTTCCCAGTGATTTTGTGCCCTCAAGAAAAATCATTAATTGTGTGAAGGATTACAAAGCGAGCCATTTAAGAGACTGTAGGCCATGATTTCAGGAAAGTCTGAGTTAAAACATAAATGTAGTGTTATTATCACTGAGGTATAAATTACAAAATGTAACTTTTTTGGACTAGAAATGGTTGTTCATTAAAATTCCTTTTTTATCGGGAACGCTGCAAAATCTTAATTGCCATAACATTTAAAAAGAGTCGTTTTTATGTACTGTAAAATCACTCTTTTTCTTAAGACACTACGAGCCTTCCGTCGAGAGAGGAATGGGAATTGATGCACTTGAAAGCTGAGAGAAAAGCGAAAGAGATGTTGGCAAAGTACGAGAAGAAATGTATCGCAAAGAAGGTTTGTGTCAAGTAGAGTAGATCGAAGTAGTATCGTGAACATGTTGCAACGGTCTTTGATTATTCTTCATAGTTTAAAGGTGATACAGCAAGTTATTTTAGGCAGGTTCATCACATGCTTAAATATCGAAATAACGTTTTCAAACGTGGGAGGGCGGGAGGGGAAGAATGGATCCCACCTAGTATCCTGACTTGCTCCCGGTTGTCTGTATTTGGATCGCGCAGAAAGACGGAATTCGAGAAGCGTGACTAAAGAGAGCGCGAGGTGTGATGGGAAGGAGGAAAACGAAAAGGAGAGACTCCCCTTCTTCCTCCTTCCCATCACTCCCCGCGCTTCCCTTGACCGTGTTTCTCTCTGGGAGTCTGAGAAACGACCAGGGACGAGTCAGCCTACTGCCAACACTCTTATAAGCAGATCACTTACTTCGTTGTTAAATTCTCTAGCAGCCATTTTGAATATTTTAAAAGCCTGGAACTGAGAATTTGGGTTAGTGTAAAATCAAAGGCGACAGGAAGTTGATTCGATGATGTCACACTAACTACTTGCAGATTTTCAGCCCGTGCGAAATTAAAGGAAATGCGCCAGGAGCCGATGGCGCGATTTGGTGCGCAAAGAAAGGTGGATGAACACGAATCTTCTTTGTATAAATTAAGTCAAAGCATGCACAAAAGTGAACACGTTCACTGACAAAGCTTCTTTATTTCAGCTGCCCTATAAGACTATTTACGCTCATGGGCCAATTGGTGATGTGATTTGCGCAGCAGGAAACAAAGTCAATGCCGAATACATCGTCTTAGGAAACAGAGGACTGGGGACCATCAGACGAACCATTCTTGGCAGCGTGTGTGATTACGTCACAAAGCACATGAATGTACCAGTTTTGATGGTTCCAACAACAGCGGAGAACAACAATTCAAGATAAAGTCACCACTTAAAGTAGCTTCTCTGTGGTTTGGATCTCAAGGGAAATAGCTCAACTGAAGGATAATCTTTTTTTGATTTTTGTTTTGTCTCGTCCTAGGGAAGGGTAAGAAGGGAGACCCTGGGGACGACGTTGCCTCGTTTCCAGGGCATTTAAAAATGAGAAGGGCCTGGGTTAAGGGTGGCACGATAGGAGTTCTGATAAGTTTCAACAATATGAAAATCATGTAGCAGCTGCTCGTAAGAGAAGTCATCAATGGTGCCTAACCCTGCTCCCAAACAATACTGAAACAATTGAAAGAATGACATGTCATTGTTTTCTGCGACCAATCAGGAGAGACCTTACGAGCAGCTCCTACACAACTGACATGAAATGGCTTCAGGCATATTTCCCTTTATGAATTTCTTTTGAATCGGAATTATCTTATTAGTTTTCTGGTGCAATCGCCGGGTTTAATCATCAGATGCAATCAAGTATCTTTGAGAAGGAAAGTTTCGGGTCCGATGTCACGGTGATATGGGCAACCCCGCGTTTTGGGCATCCCCATTCCCCAGACCCTAGTGATATGGGCATCCCCCTCTCATATTACCTATGCCCATATCACTAGGGTTTGGGGAATTGGGATGCCCATATCACTGTGACACCAGTACTAAGTGTCCATGTAGCCTGCGTGGAGGGCGTATAAAGGGGATGGGGTGGGGGAGGAGGGAGAAGAAAGCGCCCCTCCCAATTCCCCTTCCCGCAATCCCCTACCCCTTTCGACGCCTGCTTCGCAGTCTGGTCTCCATATACAGTGGAAACTCGATATGTCGAAGAGCTCAGGGACTGGCAAAAAATTTGTTCGCAATAACGAGTTTTCTTTTTATCGAAGTTCTCTTTCGTACATTTTTGTACTGTTACTGGGGCAAAGGAAATTGTTCCTTATACCGAGGACTTGGTTATATAGAGGTTCTACTGTATGGAGGTGTCTGGCAGGGACCAACACTAGGAGTCATATTTACAGATGTGTCCGTTAGAGAGTTGATTATGTCTCAAAAGACGTTTTATAATGTGGTCACAGTGCAAAGATGATCGGATTGGTCACATGGATGTCATTGGAACGAGCGCTCAAAGACCGCTTTCTTGGAGAGATTTTTTATGGGGATAAATATGATTGTTTAATCATGGAAACTCCCATTATTATAAGGGGTCTCGACTTGTCGCGCTGCTTAGGCTATCTTGGTGTTTGATTCGATTGAGATTAGAATCCTGTTGTTACAGGCTGTTTTATGGTCTTATCGGCTATAGTAGATTGGGATCCGATTGTTCTGATCTTTCGTCGATTCTGTCGCTGCTAACAGCGACTGCAGGTTGTCATTTTTGTTTTAGCAAAAGATAAGAGGTACCCTTTTTGAAAAAAAAAGTTTTATTAATAAATGGTAAAATTACAACCTTGTGATACATACAAACAATTATAGTACAATAAAAAATATAACACAGATGTTAGTTCATGTAAACCTTATTTGCCGAGTTAAACTATGTTAACTTGCTTCTTCGCTTCAAATTGCTGGTTTGCAGCTGAAGTCCCGACAGCCATGTTGGTTGACAAAAACGTTACCCGTTACCCTCCGCTAGGAACTCATGTAAATTCCGCGAAGAAAATTTGTATTGTTTTGTTAACAAACATGGTCGCTTTTTCCCGTGGTTGCAAACCAAAAATATGTATAACACATGAATTTACAACCTTTCATGATTTAACACAACGTTGTTAAAATACCTTCTTAATTAAAAAAAAAAAAGTACCATGTCGAAGTACCAAAAAAGGGGAGTAATTTGAAAGGTCTCACTACAGGAATTTGTCCACAGACTCAAAAGTTAGAACCCTCTTGTAAAACGTTATAAACAGCACCACAGGAAAGTACTGCTCAGTAGCTTTCATTTGAATGGTAACAACAAAGGATTTCATCCACAGACTAAAAAATAAGAGGCACGCATAATAGGTAGCACTATGTGAAAGTGCTGAAGAGGTCTCGTCCATGGTTAAGTTTAAGAATACCTCAATAATATAGTTAATAACACGATACCTTGTGTAAGATCAAAAATAGACACCTTATACCACAACCCCCTAAAAACACACTTCTCTTGGAAACATCCCATACAAAAATAATTTAGAATATAAAGTACATACACTGAATCTGTATATATCTGTCGCTGGACAGTAAATAACCAGCTAAAAGGTCGTGATATATCACGCCATATACACACAGGCAAACCCGAAGTTTGCTTATCAACTGACATAGCCCTTTTAATATTTTGTTTCCCAACTAATATGGCTTTTTGTCAAGAAAACGAAAGGATCAGAAATAGATACTTCTAAAATGTAGAAGAAAATAAGGAATTCTTTCAATGCTGGACCCACATCTCAATACTTTAATATTTGACTTAAAGGAGCTGTGTCACGCATGTTCGGTACAATTTGTTCAAAATGCCAGTTACGCGCCCTTATTCGCTATGAAAACTGAAAAATTACCTGTGAACGAGAAAATCCCAGGTTTGTCTCAAACAAATCAGTGCCGGCTCCAGACCTTGAGATAAGTTGGGGGCCTGGTCATCCGGACCCTTAGATAAGGGAGTGGGGGGTTCCCTGGTCTTCCCCTGGCCCCTCCCCTGGATCGCCAGTGCAAATGTCTCCCAAGCATAATGTCAAAAGTTACAAACAACAAAAACGAAGTATGAAAAAGTGTTAGGCTAACACGTTTTCAAAAACGACAACTGCTTCAATCCGTTTCAATCTTCTTCAAGTTTGTCCTTCCGTGTCTCCTTTTGTACTTGCTGTGTTATTTATACGTTATTTTAAAGTTTTGAGCTGTTATTTTTGTGTATAATTCAAGTTTGTGGCAGTTTTGTTTGAATTTTGATAAACTTTGCGACACAGCTCCTTCAAAGAGCAGCCAAAACTGATTGACGCCAATTTTGAAAGTTGAATTTCATATTTCATATTTTTTATTTTCATTACTGTTATTAGTTAAAAGATATCAAATCTGAATGGGTGTGTTTCTTATCTCAGCAAAAGGCCATATTAGCCTGGCAAATTGAGTGGCTATGGCAAATATTACCGACTGATTGATCATTACAATTCTTGTAAAAACAATAAATTATAATAAAACTATCCTCAATTAAGTTAAGGTGATCAAATTTTCAATAAAATGGCTTTTCAAAATTTGTACAATGCCATGCAGAAGAGCTACAATGGACCTCTAAAATTACACAGAGGTGTATGTAGCTACAGTTTTAGAAGATGTATGAAGCAGGGTCTTTGGATAATGACTCTTAGTTTTATTGGTTACACTGTCACACAAGGTACTATTCATACCTCGCTGTCAATTCCACAAATGGCCTGGACCAAATCCAGTGTTGACTGTTTTGATTGGTCCATTATAGTCACATGATCCAAATGCAGCATACCAATAGGATAGGACCACCAGTGACCTTCTTAACTACTACTCCAATTGAGAAGCTATGAGCAACATTTCCCTCACAGCACAGAGCATGATCAAGTGTTCCAATATCTGCATCATCGTTTTCAGTGAGTACAAAGCTGATTTTAAGTACATCCTGACATCCCGTCTTCTTTCTATCCTCCAATATTTCTACTCGTTGCTTCTTTCTTAAAGTGTCACTTCTAGTTTTCATTGTAATTTCACGCCAAGAACAATCATGCTACAAATTTCTGTCACAGCAGTAGGGCGGGAGATGGGGGAAAGATATGTCCTGTAAGTTCTTTTCACTGAGTCCACTCTGAGAACTTACTACAAAAGGTCAAGCTGGAAGTCAACGTAAACTGCTTACAAACAAGCTGTTTGCAAACTGCCAGCTTTGAGGTTCCACTGATTGCTGTAACAAAACTCAGAATCTGTTGGTCATGTCTTTGCTAAAGCAGCAAGGTTAAGTGCCCTGCCGCTCACTCGAGATGAAGTCATCCGACTGGAAAGAAAAAGAGGAATTAATGTTACGATAACAATATTTATTATCATGTGCCAGTTGTATAAAAGGATGCAATATTACTGGTGTTTTTCATCAAAGTAATTGATAAATGTTATATAAATAATTGTTTCATAATCACTTATCAATAGTTTATCAACTGTGTCATACTCTTTGAAGTTTTTATCAAAGTGAAGTTCTTTCAGTGGGGAGTATTAGTAGTTCTGTATTCCTTAACAAGCCTACTTTATTTTTGAAAAACAATTTACAATCTCACACAATTTCTGTAAAATTCATGTTATTCCCTGCACAATTTGCTTCCAAAATTCTGCAAAATGTTAATTTTTCTCCCCGCACCCTGTCAGAAGCCCTGCACATGTGACCTATCCTGGGTTTTAGCTGAAAATATATCAATTTTTTTAGCTTGAGCATGAAATTCCCACAAGTCCAGGTCTTGAAATTATTGTTCAAGTAAGAAGAATAAGGCCAATATCGCTGACAAAAAAATCCCTCCTATTATTACCTTCTCAACATGTGTGACGAAGTTCTTGTTGTTCTTCGTGGCAAAGCAGACACCTTGGATGTTTTTAGTGGAGACATGACTGACTGCATACCAGCAGAGGTCCCAAGCCTGTTGAAAACAGACATTTTAGATCAGTAATTGAGACTTCTCAAACTTAATAAATGCACCCTTGTTAAGCACCTAGGCACTTATTCGAGGAATAAAATGTTATCTCAACTTGAATCCTAATATTAATTCACCACTAGAGAAATGCAAAAAAACTGGGTCGAGTTAACTTCTGCAAGACCTCTGGAACTGCTAATACAGACAGGGAAAAAAAATTGGCCCATAGCTGACTGGCATGTCCTTGGTAACAATCCCAGAAACAATTACGGAATGCATTTTGGCTTCCAGTTTCCTTCTCTTTTCTAAATTGGCATATTATAGCAGGGCTGTCAATAAGGGCCGGTAACCGGCCAAAACTGCTGGCTAGTTAGCCACCCTTAGCTAGCTACTTTCATCTCCTTCTACCATAACTGCTAACAAAAAATAAGTACCAGCAAATAATGATGATGAATGACATTGAAGGCATGTGTAAACAGGTTTAGATCTGTGAAACATTCGAAATGTGCAATGTCGTGAAACGCCTGGGACATTTTGACAGCATTGTTCCCAGTCTTGCATGTATTTTGACAAAGCAACAAGGCGTCCGCGGTGGAAAAATACCGCTTCAGAACCCCTCGAAATGGCATTTCTGAGACTCTAAATTCCAAACTGTCCCTAATTGCTTCAGCCCTCAAGAACTTGTGCCTTTGGTGTGAGTTCCAAAGCTGCCTGCTATTCATTATCAGCCTGCCCCTTAAAAACTTTTTGACAGCCCTGATTTTAGTGAAGGACCTCGTTAAGAACATTATTACTTACTTTAGAGACTGACCAGTAGTAGACCGTGTATGTCCTATTCTACCATCCTCTAACCTGCAAACAAAAAAGAGCCATCTTAAGAAGATCTGGATCTGGATCTGGATCTTACGGTTTATGGTTCAAACATTTCTTCATTCCACTTGTGGCCATATTTGTTTCTTTCTGGTGTAACAATTGTAGGTTACTGATCTAATAAATTTATTTAGGATCTAATCCTGGACTCTCCCACAGAAATGCACCTTAAACATTGAGTACACACAAATCTGAAAATTTCAGTGCCCAAAGAGCTCCCTCCTTTCTGATAAGAAGTGGCGTTTAGAAAATATTAAAACAATGTACTTGAGAGAAAAGTCAGAGTAACAAGACAAGAAATTACCACAATGAGCATAATTAACTTGGCAATAAAAACTCACACCAAATACTTAAGGTCCTAACAACCAACTGTAAAACCTAAAATTAAATGATTGATCATTCAGGGCTGTGCTCTAGCAGAGCCCGGTGGGCCCTGGCACCTAACTTTTGCCCTCGGGCAACTAGAAAATCTCAGATTTTTCTTACAAATCATATGCTGGGCACCCTAAATTTTACAGTTTCAGAGCACTGGGCTCCCTTCAATTTTCCTTAGAGCACTGCCATGATCATGACAACTTACTTTAGCCCGCCTGTTGTGGCTGATCTTGGGTGCCGCAGCGCACGACTTGTCTTGAGTCTTCTTAACTCGTCTCCTTGTGTAGTCTCTTCATTGTCATTAGCATCTTTGGTTACAGTTATTTCCTTCGAAGAAAGAATGCTGCTCCTACCACTTATAACAGAAGCTCCTGATGAAGGGGTGCCAGTAGCACGGAGAATAGGTGTTAAATCCTTTAAACAGAACAGAAAAACTTCACTCTTTATAATGATATCTTTCTCAGAGAGATAAAAAGCTGATCTTTCGCAGCACAACTACTGGTTCACCAGTTGCAAGGTGCGGGAAAATGTCTGTCAGCTGATTGCAAGAGAACTGCCAAACTTTGAGCTATCAAGATCACACCTTGAACAATTCACGAGCAGAAAAATATGAAAAAAAAAACAGTGAAATAAATCAAGTATTATTGTACTGTACTAAAAAAGAAGGACGTTTTGGTGTCATAGAGACACAATTTGACACAATTTTCAAGTTCAAAGGGTCCAGTCGATAAAATGTCAGAAATAATATAACTATCCGCTATTCAAGTAAAAACAAGTTATACAAAAAAGAGACATTACATGTAAAACTTTGACAAACCCACTGATGGTTGCTACAGCTGTAAGCACACCAACATTACTATTAACAAATTATTACAAACATTCATGACTGTGAATTACAATAATAATTTACCTTAGAGAAAAAAATCAAAGACAACAGTACCTTGTAATACTTAGGTGTCCTTGCATTTCCAGAATCTTCTATCTTTATGGTGTCCACACCATTAATGAGCCTGCTCACAGGGCATTTGTCAACACCTGTCATCATTAACAAAAGACACAAATTTGCATAGGTAATAGCATGATTTGTAGTGATATTTGGCATAAATACCACGAGTGATATTTCGAAATTGTTATACGTAATTTCACGAGCCGTTAGGCGAGAGAAATTTGAGACAGTTTTGAAATATCACGAGTGGTATTTATGCCAAATATCACGTACAAGTCATGCTATTATTTGTTTATACTAGCACCCGCAAAAGGTTTGTAATTTTCACATGTAGGTATTTCAAATTAAGCTGAAATACCACTGCTCTAAGCCAATCAAATTGCAGTAATTTTTCATGTAGTAGTATAAAGCTTTTTATTGACAGCCTTCATGGCAGGGGGCAAGGGTGAGTTAAGTTTTCTTGGTGGATCTTGTCTTGCTCCTTGAAGTGATCCACAACATAAGACGTAGAACTATGTTACCTAGTGCTACCACTAAATTGTTACCATTAAATACCTTTTTCTGCTCTCTCTTGTTCCCTTGATCTGTATATGTCACCTTGGATCCACAGACTTGCTTGTTTTCTAAATGAAGAGAATTTAGGATTATACTTTTTTAAAAAAAGAGTAAGTATAAAATGCAGGGTTTTCATTAAGACCCAACACCTGTTGGAGTGTTAGAAATTTGAGTTACAGATGAAACTAGAGTATGCCAAATACAATCCCTTTTTTAATTTGTTAACCAAAATAACATTATCTATGAGTTAACCAAAAAGTTATCTATGAAATAGACCTTTTTAGCTTGTATGTTTTGTTTTCCCAATAAAGGTCAAGTGATAATTCCCCAGAGTACTGTGTTTTTCAAATTTTTTCTTAATCATGTGCATACGTATGCATAATTTATGAAAAATTAAGGGACAAATTTCCCTGAGACCTTCATTAGGAAATAAAAAATACAATACAATATAAAGGTCTATTTAAGGTATCATCCACCCTTAAGCACTCTCCCCGCATTGATCAGCGCTGGCGCTTTTGCTTTTAATAAATACCCCTATAAACCGTACATTTTCTGAAAGCTTAATAGTTCCAGATTATTGCTTATTCCTTTTAAAAAATCAAAATATTAACGCCATTCAGAAATGAGAAGCTTTTTGTGAAAGTGGGTGTCGCTGTAAATTTAAGTCCAGGCCAGCCAAAAATAAACGGAAGAAGCCAATTAAGATCACATTCGCTTCTTAACACGTTTGACTAAAAAACCGTGTCTCAGATTTTTGTCAAGTGTGTTTGTTCTTTTGTTATAAGCAGTTGAAGTTAGGGATAGCAAATCATTAGCACTACCTGTGAAAAAAATACTCTTACTCGAAAACGAAAAAAGAAATCAAAATTCGCAGACACGGTTTTTTAGAAAAACTATCTGACAGTAAGTTGGCCAAATTTCAGCCAAATTGGTTCACGGGTTGCCGACTTGGAGTTTAAAACGTACCCTCAACTTGCTCTGATTTTCATTTCGAGAAAACAGGGGAAAAAGATTTTTGGCGGCGTATTGCCCGTGACGAGATTATAACAGATTATAACACCAAAGCTGTCAATGTTGATGCATACCAGAAAAGGGACAACAATAGTGACACAGCAGGAAAAGGTTACAAACGAAACCCAACAACAGATGAACAATTTATTTCGAACGCTCTGCTCTGTTCGATCCTTCTGTTGTCGAGAAAGCATCTTTCATTTTGAGCCAAGCCAACTTTTACTCGATACATTTTCTAAAAGTTCGACACTTCCCTGGAATAATCGACAACAAACCGCTTCCTGGAGTTTTTCTTGAAGCTGCTCTCCCGCTACAATAGACTTTCAAAAAAGTCCTTCGTCCGATTTTTTATATGGCGCGGGACCGGTCGCGAATTTGTCGCTTGCTTGGCCGCTTCGCGACCTTAAAAGCTCGCTCCGCTCGCTAAGAAACTCGTGAAACTCGATTTCGCGGTAGTTTCAATGGGTTTTTCAGAAGCTTTGTCATCTTTTAGCCATTTTTCTTGATTGTAGTAGGAGCCCTTGTCACTCTCTGCTAATTTCGAAACCCACACTTTGCAAAACGATTTTGTCGTCTTCTTTCGTCTTGGAGTCAAGGACGAAAACGGACAAGCTCTTTTTTCTTCTTTGGAGGCATTCACTTCCAAAATCCAGGGAAAAACAGTGAGCTCTATACTTGTAGACCACGATTTCTGTCAAATTGCGTGATTAGCTTGGTTCAACAGCGGCATGCGTATGAAGTATGACAGGACTTGTCAACGATCAATTAAAATAATTAGCATAGAAAAAACTTTTGCGCTCCATAACTCTGCACAGAAAAAACATTTTTTTCTGGAATTTTTTTTAAAAGAAAGCTCTTGATGAGCTCTACTTAATCATCTAAAAATTGAAAATTTCGAAAAATGATGGGTTTTTACCCTGGATGATACCTTAACTTGTCAATGTATATTTAATGTTGCTCTGACTTACTCTTCTAAGAAGTTCTGCTGTGGACCAATCACTGACCCAGGGCGACAAATTCTGTTAAGGATCAATGAAATCAACATTTTGACATGAACACAAATCTTTAAGTAACAAAATGCCTTTATAGTGGCTGCACAGATGAAGCAATGGGAGCATAACTTAACAACAGAGAAGACAACCTAAACTCAACTATGCGCCATTACACGTTTAGTGAACATAAATGCACTGAACGTGCATAATACTGAGCCCAATGATTAGAATATTCCATACCTTAACCAGGCAATGGCCTCTGCTGCTGTAAACCTGTAGTGTTTCATGATGTAACATGCAATAAGAGTTCCAGTTCTACCAAGACCAGCTGTAACATAAAACTCAGACATCAGTTTAAATGTCTACCAACCAACAGCTTACAGTTCCACTGTGAAGTAAGCAGGTGACTAAAAATGACCTTTGCAGCAACCTACTGAACTACATGCCCACATAAATAAGTTTCAATAGAGCTGAAAGAATGCTGAAACCCCATTAATAAAACTGCCAACAAAAAAGGACATGACTAACCTGGTTGTTTTAATGAGATTTTCTAGTGTCTTTTACACGTGGGCCAAAAAATGTTTACCGGTATTTATTACATTATGTAAGGTGGAATTCAAGCTTTTTTTTAATCCAATAACTTAAACAAAAGCTTCCTAAAATTCCTGCTGATTGAATGAAACAACTGAACTCACCTTTACAGTGTACTGCAACTGCTCCTTTGGTGTTTTCAGCTATATTTAAGAACCGCCTAAAAACAAACAAGCAAAGTTGGTCATCCTTGAGCTCACCATCACCACCAGGAAAAAAAAAATTGGGGCTTATTGATAGACTGCAGTGCTCATGCAGAAGCACTGCGACAATCTTCATCATCTTCATTCCATGACTCACCTAACTATTGAGTCACTAGGGGTGCTTCCATCAACAAAGAAGAGGTCAAAGTGATCAATGCCATGATCACTGAATCGTTTTGCATCATAGAATTTCTTGTTAAGTCTGACGACTGCTGTCACATTGTGCTTCTGGAAATAGTCAATGTAAGATTCTGGTGCATGCAGAGGATAACCTAACAAAAATAAAAAAATTAACACATGTAAATTTGTGCGTGGTCTGATTTTGCCTGATGTAACCATACTCCCACAAAAATTTAGGAGAGGACAATAATAAGATTGTAATGTCAAAGTTCTGTTTGTCACTGACTTGTTTTCAAAGTAATATCTATTTCTTAAAAGAAAATGAAGAACATGTCAGTGGCATACAAAACGTTTAAACGCAAACTTCCAGCTGCAGGTAAGATATCACATTACTGCTAATAATTACCATTTTCAATTCTACTTTTATTATGAGGTCCACTAAAAGCCAAGAATTTGTCTGGAAAAAAAATAAGAAGAAAATTAATATAAGAATTACTATTACTGGACAGACAATAATATTATAAATAATACCATAAATTTCTTCAAAGAAAGATACAAGTGAATATGAGTGAGATCTACTATGAGAATTAATTTATCAAAATATACTTCCCTACAAGGAAACTCATGCAGAGCAATAACTTGTTAAAGTGTCAGTATTGCTGATAAATTGAAAGGAGAAATGCAATGTTTTGAACCACTGAACTTACCAGGTAAAATCCAGTTAAAATCTCCATTTTCAACTCTCTGTAAGAACAAAAAAAATATTTGAGAAAAGGCCCACCACAGAAGCAGTCGTAAGCTAGAATAAAAATTTTACAAGTAACTAAGGAAAAATAAATTCTCAAGATCTAACAATATACAGTGATTTTGTTACCTCTGCGTCCTGTGCCCCTGCGGCATAAAAATCCACAAAGACACAAAATAATCATAGTGTGCATCCCATAGGACACAAAGAACGATCAATTGATTTGAAGATTTTTCGGTAGAATATCCTGTTCATGTGATTTCTGTGGCTGTTGTTTAATGATGCATATTTATTTTAGTCTTTTTTGTGCTTTAAATGTATCTACAATGACTATTGTATATTTTAATTTCAGTGAACCTGGCTAAAGAGTTTCGGCATCTGTGTCCAGATTAACTGTCTGGTTACATAAAGGCCCAAGCATGACTCCTTATTTCTTTTGAACTGGGACTCACTGGTCATGGACTGGGATTTGTGATTTTTCACAAGATGAGTCCCAGGACTCACTATAACTACTTGTAACAAAATCACTGATTATATACTTGTTCCTACCTCATAATACTCATACTCAGCAACATCAAAAGTATCAAAGTTAAAAAATCCTTTCTGTAAAGACTGAAAGCGACAAGAGAAGGATAAAAGAGTCACAAAATTAATATTTGTTTTTCCACTGGTGAATCTGCGAAAGGAATATGAAAGTTTCTTACCTTATAAAGACCACTAAGAACATCTGCTAAAGACAGATTATATGTACATGCTCCAAAAGACGCATCCCTGGAAAAAACATAGGAATTTTTAAGCAAAATTGTTGGAGGTTAACGGCACATTAATATGAGGCATATATGTAGGGCTAAATGGTGACAGCTTAACTCCATTTTTGTACCATTAATCACTTAGGAGAAGCTTCTCATTCCTGGACAGGACACTACATGTACAGCTGTAGTTCAACACAGGGTTATACGTATACATGTAATATCCCCAGGAGAATATCCCATCCATACATACAACTGAGTAAGGACAGTAGCACTTAAAAAAGTGAGACAAAGCTTCCAGTGTCTAAGGTAACAAAGCAGCCAAAAACTGACAGGACATTCTCAATCACAGCTGATGATAAGTCTTTTGAAAAAGTTTTAACTTGAAAGAAACTAAAGAGTGCTATAAATATAAAGTTACCAAAAAATTACCATAAATGTGATGAACATACCTAAATGGTAAAAAGGGTGGGTTACAACCAGTTATTAGAAGCCTGTAAGACTCTTCAGGAGATCTCTTCAAATATATAATCTACAAAAACAATATTTATATTATTGATCAATATTAATCATTATATTCCCTGGAGAAGTGTACCCAACAATCCTAGGGTGATGTTGTCAGCATAACAACAAGCTAAAACTGACAACACAAAAAAGGGTAAAAAGTCAATCTGAGCCTTGGCCATGTTGTAAGTAATATATCAAACATGAGATGCAGTGTTTCATCACCAGATGAAACACCGAGAAGAGAGTTGAAAATACGATGCGCAGCGGAGTATTTTTGACAAACTTCGAGGTGTTTCATCTGGTGATGAAACACTGTGTCGAATGTTTGATATTTCTTCTCAAACAAAATCATTTTTGAAGGAGAAATTAAGGATGCAAATACTAAGCAGTGTTTCATCCGATTTCCAAACACTCATTAAACATTAATTTCCTTTGTATTTTCTTAATGAAATATTAATGAGTTTGAGAATACACTTTTCTTTTCATCATACAATAAAAGTACATACTCCAACCACTTTTCAACAAGACCTAAATACATTACCCTAGATAAAAAATATCATACTCACAGAATATGCTGCTATGAGGTAAGCTGCATTAGCTCTTTTTCTACTGTCAAATGATGTGTAATGAACAATCTTCTTCTTTGCAAGTGAGAAGGACTGGAATGGTAAACAAAGACACAAAAACTCATTTCCATCCAGTCAATAAACTACTTTAAATGACAGACAAACCTTCCTTAAAATCACCAAAAAAGTGTCCAAGATTTGGTAATCACTGACAGAACATTGTACTTTAGCGAAGTCCTTGGTTATGGGATCTTTCAAAAAGTACACTTTACTGACTGGTAAAAGAAGTGGAATGATTCGTTCCCAAAACCTACCCACCCCCTTTAAGTTACATTGTGTATTTCAGCAAATGTTATTTGCCCGTCAGACAACTGTAGTATTAAAAATGCACGTCTAAAGGTGTGCCTTACTAGCCTGGGGCCAGCGCAATATCTTCACTTAAAACAAAAGAAAAACACAAAAGACCGTCTGAGTTGGAAAAAATATCCATAACAAACAAATGGAAGATCAAGAAGAAACCTTACTGAGTTGATTTTCTATGAAACCAAGTCATAGAGATATCTACCATGCAAATCATTCAACATTTTCATAGCTTAATAAACAAACTGTTACAAGCAGACATGCATCAAAGAATGCACACAGAAGCATTATTTTTATACGGGTTCTTTCAGAGCATGTGTCTTGTGAGGTTGGGTGAATATCACAACACCACTGTGCGAGCAATAAGCTTGGATGAACGCCCTGCCACGAAATTATTAACTGCTAAACGATCGGATGCTTAAGTTTTCATGTTATACAAATGACCGGGTATTCTAAAACTGCTCCATTAAGCTTAAATTCATAACAACTGCGTAATGACCGGGGATCTATGAAAACTTAACGATTTCAATAATGATCATAACATTCATGAGACCAAACCTCTCTATGAATACAAAGTTTATATACACTTTCTCATAATAAATTTAGGTTTCATTGAATAGAATTAACTACTGTGCTTAAGAACTAATTCCAGGTACTCGCGAAGATTCTTTAACCGCACGGAAGAATTTAATCAAGCTCACACGCTCCTTGCAGAAATTTAAATTCGAACCTAATGCATGTTTACGGTTCTCCTTTGGCGAGCAAAACTTGTGACAGGGTTTTCAATGAAAGGTCAGTTTTAAACTAAGTTATCACCGTTTACCACCCTTTGCCCTAGAATACAAAGAAGCACGGGGCAAAATTCCAAAACCACAACTCCATTTTGGTCGCCAGAAGCCATGTTTTTACAAACCACAACATTTGAGCCAAATTGTGACAGAGCGATAGAATATTTAACAACTTTTAAAGGCTCTTAAAAGTCCTCAGAGAAAATCCTGGGGACCTAACAAGGAAAAGGGCTGTTTTGGCGTCCAATATTTAAGTCATTATACAAATGGGAAGCTTTAATAAGCAAATATAAGCTTACGGGAAATCGTAAACAGTGAAAACACACTCGTCAGATGTTTCCTCTCAACCTTACATATTCAAATCATTCGTTCGTCTAGACATAACTTCCTTTACTGTATCTCTAGATGAAAATGCGCATTTTTGATCAGTTTAAAGGGCAGAAAACAGCACGCAGGCTTTAAAGCATACGGCTTCCATAATCTAATTCCCTCGGCGAGGGCACGTCACTTTAGGAGAACGCATATTTATATTAGTAAAGAAGCCCCGAAGGATCGAAAAGATAGATCTTGCAAGTTATATCAAACAAACTGATATGTTATCGCGGTATTGTTGCTCGAAAAAGAGATACAAGGCACCGAAAACATACCTTAAGTTTCTTGTTCAGCTTACAACAGTAGCGATACAACATAGCCAGGTTCAAAGGACCAAAGTCAGCGTAGAAACTACAAGAACAGAACAAGAACAATTTGATTAATTAGAACGTGATTCGGCGCTAAATATCGAGGCAAATTAGAAGACACTTACTTTTCATAAACCAGCTCATCGTCCACGCAGAAATAGTGCGTAGATACAGTGCTTCGTGGTTTATTTCGAAGAGTCGCAAAATACAACCGATCTACAACAGGATTCAAGGAACACTTTGTTAGGTAAACACGCCATATGGTAGTGGTAAACCATATTGACAACGGATAAAACCCTCCGAAATATACCTTCTATGAACTTGCATGCATTTGTCAGGTCATTGTCGTCACCCATGACTCGTAAAACACGTTAAAAAGGAACAGAAATCTTCGATAAAAACGTCAAAGCGACTCTATCACTTCATTCTCCATATCTTCTTCGCATTGATAAAGACTGCATTACAATCCTCCACCAATCACAGCGTAGCACAATGCGTTGCTATGGGATATGACCCGTCCAATGAACAATAGGAATATATTTAGGAAACAATGAAAAACAATAAACAGCGCGAATTTATAGGTTATTTACAAACTGTATAAAATCAAAACAGATAAATGCTACGTAAAAGAAACGTACGTTTGTGTTTTTACTTTGTAAAAATGTATTGACTGAAATACAGCCCCAGACTACTCTACACTTACGAGCTGAGGTCGTGCGCCCATTTTAATTGAAGTCTTTTATTCCGCATTCTTTAAACAGGCCATGTGAAAAAGGGGGTTGGGGGAAGTGAAAAAAAGAAAGAAAGAAAGAAAACTACTAGTTTAATTTGTTTTGAATCCTGAAGTGACCATATTCAGGGGGGAGCGGCGCAAAACATAGCCCGAGAGGGCGGTTCCCGGCTCCGCCCATTATGAATACCTTTTTCAGTTTTTAGGTGCACGAAAAGGGTAGAGACTGAATCTGTCCTTGGGGTCTGCGATGACCTAATATAAAATTTTGTTGACTAAACCTTCTTCCCCCCGGCCGGAGGCTTATGTTATCCCCCGAGACCGCCAATGTGTGTGTGGATTTCAGTAGTAAAATTAAGTTGTCCCAGTCAAGTGCTTTTGAGATAAAGGAATGTATCTTTAATAAAAAGTCAAGGAACAAGAAAAGAAAATTGAATACAAGACCAGGTGATAAGACTTATGATAATAAGTTTATTGATCCCAGAAGTGACTCTATAGCTACAGTTGTAAAAACTGTTCCTGTGACAACCGCCTACCGCAGGAGAAACATACATAGTGTTTTTACCAGGAGCCTATAACTATTACCATTATTATTAAGCTCCTGCTTTTACCCAGTCACTGACTCCAATAACACGTTTATAGCGATATCTCTAACTTTAAAATCTATAGGAAAATCTATGGTCTTACCATTCAAATGAAACCTCAATGACAAAACTTTTGCATCTCGCACTTAGCAAAATAATTTTCAATTTTGAAGCGCTTTTGTTTTTTTTTTTTTTTAATGGGTTGAAGCGATCAGTCAGTGATCAGGTGTGAACTTTCCGGTAGTCGCCTCCCGTCCTCCGCGCCGCAAAGGCCTCTTTAGACTCTCTTTAGGAACCTTAGAAAACTACGACGAAGACAATCTCGTTCCCAGGAGAACCTGGGAACGAGACTGCCCGCGACGAGGGGGCAATGGCAACATCAAAAAGTCAATAGTTTTAGTTCGGCAAAACAACAACTCTGCACATGCATCACGCTTTTTTGTATATTTCTTTGCCGTCCCTGAACAACTACGACTTTTAAGTTTAATAGAGAACGGGAACGGCCAGGCGATAAATGATCAATCTCTTTCTGAACTCGGGCGCGGTCCCCTCTGATCTCTTCAGCTCTTACATAAATACTCTTCTTTTAAGTAACTGACCGACTTGGGATAATCGTGAAAGGGTTTGAAAAGAGGTGGAGTCTATTTTCCAGCGACGTTTTCGTGGACAGTGAAAAAAAAATGAAAGCGCACGGAGTACGATGGGAAGGCCAGGCAGAGAGAACGCCTTTTCCTCTTCCCATCGTCCACCGCGAGCTTACTTCTATTTTAATTGAAATTGCCAGCGGGGGCCTCTGCGGAGGAGATTCAAGGGTCGTCGTTTCTCTTCTCTCTACCCTCTAATTTTTTTTTTTTTTCACTGAAACGGTCCCATTTTTATGGCTAAGACAGATCTTTTCGCAGTTAAAGTGTACCCCGAAAATTTGTCTAAAAATACACTGGCAGCTGGTGAAGATAACACGCCTCTGGCTTATAAGTGCGCCGTCCTCTGTACAGTTGTCTATAATTCAGTACTTTGTACTATATTTGAACGGCATTCATTTGAAGTTCTTTCAATGGTCGAGCTTATTGTTTCTTCAGTAACCGTAAGTTCCTCACTGGAGACTTTCGCCGTTTCATCAGTTTTAGCAGTGCCAGCCTCCTCATCGTCCTTCTTAGCAAGTGATCCGCCTTTTAAAACATATCTCATCTTTCGAAAAGAACTTCTAACCTTGACAGCTAACAGTTGAGCAGTGTTGGTTTCTCCGGTGACTGTTTGATTGCTGCCACCATCGGAGGTTTCGTAAGAATCTTTAGTTCCCAGACCCAAGTACCTCTTTGCGCGATCCCTGATCGGCTTGAAACATAAAATGGTGACCCCCGCGTTAACTGCAGCGCTGGCGTTAGCGATGATGACGACGCAACGACCAATCAGATACGAGGTAGGGAACTCCGGGCGACCAATTCCAGCGATTATGAGGTAATAAAACCCCGCAGGACTGACACAAAACCAAAAACTGGCAGTGATATAGCTGGACAAAAGGGCCACTCTCCTGGCCTCGGCTTTCAAGGGATCCGCGTCAGAATCTTCATCTTTTGGGCTTTGAGCTTTAAAAGATTTCTCGATTTGGAGCACACGGTACATTATAATAACGGAGAAAACTGCGATAGCAATGGCAGGAATAATTAACGTGACGCCTAAATAGGCGCGAGCAATTTGTCCCTTGGTCCCTGGCTCGGCTATGCACACTCGTACATAATACTGGTGATTGTCGGACATGTACTCAACTCGTGAATGATACAAGAAGAAAAAGGGAACGTTGATTACAAACGCTAAAAACCACGCCCCTCGGATCATGTACACAACCGTTTTGTCGCTCAAACGGCGGAAGGCGAATGTCAAGGACCAGAAACGTTCGAATATTGTGACGACGAGAATGTAGAAGCTGGTACCCATGGCAACAAAACGGACGTATTTGGAAACAGCGCAGTACTGATGGGACCGTCGAAATTCCAGGCGGTAGATCTCCAGCGCATCGAATGGGATTGCAATAAAACAAGTCAAGAGGTCTGAGAATACCAAGTGACGCAAGAAATAGTATGTCCTCAGCTGGGATCGTAGCATGCGTTGACAGAGCGGGTTCTTGCTTGCTTTGCGAGCATACTTTTCTTGCTTCCATATGATCAGAAGAGCGAGAAAGTTAAGGCCCAGCGCCAAAGGCTCGATAATGATGTAAGGTATCGCGAGACTTACTTTTTGACCAGTACTCAGTATGTCAATCAGTTCCTCTCTAGTTGCGTTGCTATGGTTACTAGCGGAAAGAGGCGATGAATTTGCCATAACGCCAACGCTTGGTCTCTAATGTAAAAAAACAGGAAACGAAATTTAACGATGCCACTCACCACCGTACAAAGGTTTTAACTGGTGATTAGTAGCAAATAACGGGATCTGAGAGGACCATCCTAATCCTATTAAATTTCAAGTATTCAAATTGTGTTTTTTGTGCTTTAAACAGATCAAGAAAGGATAGACCTCCCTTATGTAACTATTCCTTGTACCACACGGCTGTTGATGGTAGGCGAGATTAAAAATTACGGGCCGGGATGTTTTGTCGCAAAATGTTTTTGAACACTAGAAAAAAAAAACTTACGCGCCGACAAACTGACAAGGCAATGAAACAATATGTTTTAGCTCAGTCTCATACCTAGAAAACCGTTCTCGTTGATTTGATAAAAAACTATTTGCTGCACAGGTGTTGCTTTTAAGCATTTTTAATCACTTAACTAACGCCAAATCATTCCTATATATATATACTGACCCTTAGATTGCTGACCTTTAAAGAACAAGCAATTTCGCTTCTGTCAGGTAATAAAGAACTGAACTGCCGATTCTATGGAAATAGAATGTTTCGAAAAATTTCCTTGAAAATTGCCGGACATTTTAAAGCCACAAGACGTTAAGCTGACTTTACTTCAATTGTGATAAGCTCCGAAAAATTAGAAATATTTTTATGATGTGGTTGTCCGTGAAGAAACTAAATTTAAAAATTTATCGTTTTTTTTTCCAGTGCCCCTTGGCCAGAAAAGAAGGCGAATCAATATATCAATACTTTAAAATAAACTAGAGGATAAGAGAAAAACAACAACTGATGACAAGAAATGGCTTTGAAATTAGGGGCAATCACCTACCATCTATTTTTTGCAAAAGGATCCAATTTTTTGCACAAGGATACGCATTATAAAGCAAAATTTCCTTACCTGAAACGGTAGTTTTTCCTTATCTTGCTATCTGCAAAAAACAGGCTGTAGAAAGGCAGTAAGTGCAACAGGTGGGGAAAAACGAATCGAATCATGGAAAAGAATTTTACATTTGTGCAGGAAAATAGCCCATGAAATCAGTAAGAAATCCCCATGAAAACTATGAATTTGATTGGTCCAAGGCCCCTGACATCTCTTTGATATTCCGCCTAGCTACCTGGCAACGAAATGAACAACAAACAAAGCGGGCCTTCATAGAAAACTAACAATAATGAACAAATAAAACGAGGCTAATTTCATTTGGATGAAAGCTTCTACATCTACGTTGTAGTTAATTATTTTTTATTTTTCGTTTGTTTCAACTTTATTAGCATACATTACCATACTCATCAACAAAAGAAAAACAAAAATTACCTGAGATAAAAAATTAACTACAACATCTACAGAGAGAATTATTTTGCTCCTCGAATGCTTTCGGAATCTCTCTGATTTTCCGCCTTGTTACTTGGCAACGAAACAAACAAGCAAAAGAAAACAAGGAGGGTTTTGCTAAAAATTAGTAATTTTACGTGAAACGGGCTAAACTAATTTGAAAGGGTATAAATTAGGGTTTTGATCAGACCTGAAAAGCGTGTGGTAGTGATATCCATTTGTTTTGCTGCTTAGCAACTTACCTGACAATAGAACTGACAAGTAATTGAAAGGCAGATTCACCAAAACTGTGAAATAAGCACTAATTTTAAAGCAGACTGGAAAGATTGAAAGTGGAAGAGGAGTGTAAATCACCCAATAGAGTTATCATTATGGATTATTGCTCCACGTTCCATAGAAACCCGGCTGCCGAGTAACGAAAGCGGTGAACTTTCCAGTTCGGATCCAGACCTGTACATAAGGAAGGGGGGGGGGGGGGGGTGGGGGGGGGGAGAGAAGCGGACCAGGTAGGGAGGGGGGGGGGCGGTCGCTCATTTTATTTTGGTCTGGGGCAAAAGAGGGGGGGGGGGGGGGCGTGCCCCCGGGCCCCTCGCCTGGATCCGCCACTGCTTTCAGGATGGCAAAACTATGAATTAGTTACATCTGGTGCTTTTCCTTTCCTATGAAAATTCTTTTAATTCTCTTTGATATGAGAGATCGTGGAGCAGGCCTCGTTTTGATGAAGAGGTTGAGGGCCAACCTCGTTCCCAGGGCCTTTCATCTGAAGACAGACCTTAGGAACTTTATTTGGCTGACATGTTCATAAATACAGCTATTTCGAGAAAGGTTGTCGGAAAAATTGCACGCGACAATCCCGAAAGGTATTGTGGGTAGTTTTGAGTTCACTTTTCTTCAAAGAAATTTGAAAGAATGGCTCAGGAGGCCATGGAAGTTTGTTTGCGAGTGCTAAAGGAACGCAACAAAAGTAGGTTCGACAGCTACGGTGTCAGGCACATTTTATTGGTCATATCCCGCATTACCTTTCGGGATTGTCGCGTGCACTTTTTTTCCGACAGCCTTTCTCGAAATAGCTGTATACGAGGTTGGCTTTGGGCAGCTCTGAAATAGGCTTTAAGAGGGGGGTGGGGGGTGTTAGGGGTAAAAATACGCTCTGTGCGTGGAAAAAATTGGCCGGACTCAACCCTTTCGACGCGCCTGATACGTTGGGTATTCTCCATAATACGATGCAGAAAGGTAGAGAATTGTCACGCAAACTTGTCCAATCAGGAGGGTGATAGATAGCGGCGGTACAAGGATATAATGAAATGATCGATAACAACAAGGCTAAGGTGGCCTTTTGAGTTTCTCAGGGATACAAAGGCCACAACAACAGCGAGAATGGCGAAATATCGTGTCTCGTACGTAAGGAGACATGACGCGAGGGTTTTCAAACATTTTACTACGCTCGTTTTACAATCTGTAAGAGAAAAAAAAAACAGACCCTCGTGGGCTGTTATTTTATTGCATATCACGTTGTGGGTAGCAATATGGAAATTGAACAAAACGATCGTCAAGTTTTGTAGTATAAAGAAATGACTAAAAATAATAGGGTATAAAGCAAAGAGGGTGTCTTAATCTCCAAAAGACAAAGTCAGTTTTATCTAAGTACTGGCCATACCAGCATTCTTCCAAAGGTAGAAGAGAAACTCGACGACCTTAATATGGAGCTTCAGGTCCAGCAAGTCTTTGCCCTCGGTGAGGTTCGCCGGGGGACATAAAAGCACGGGCCCGAAACACACCGACAAATTGTGCGCGTCCATTTTGTTGGTGTCCTTCTCAGCGATCACGTGCATAAAATGGTTCAACAAATACACCAGGGTTTCCCGGTTGTTCTGCGGTAACTGGACGAGAAATTTTGAAAGAAGACGCTTCTGGGAGACCTGGTCCTGGTCTTGAACATGATCCTGCGCTGCTCGGATCAGAAGTTTGGACAGAGATTCGGTTATCAGGGGCTCGGGAAGTTCCCGGAGATAATCCTTAAGAATTCCCGCGATGATATTTATATCGGGGTAATTCTCCTCTGACAAATCAACAGCAGTGCTGTCCTCGTCGAACTGCGCATGTAACTGCTTTTTACGTCGAGCGTTACCGGAAATCCGGTACAGACCCTGGGCAGACAGGCCCCGTTTTTCGATCTCCTCCACACATTTGCGTACGACTAACGGGACGCTCGCGTTCTCGTTTCTCGAAGTCACATTGAGCTGGAAGCCGAAAACGCCCGATTTTCTGTCGGACGGAGCTCGTTTGAGCAGTGTCTTCATCTCAATAAACTCCATCTCGATGTGAATTGCGCCTTGTGGATTCATTCGGAACAAAACCTTGTGTTGCTTTCCAGCGCGCACAAAGGGCGAAAGATTGAAGGACACCTTACCCACGGGTTTATCATATTCGTGGTTGGAAGTAAAACAAGAAAGGCACACTTCACGGCCATGTTGGATTTCCACTTCGAACATCTCATCCCACATTAGGATTTTCGATGCCTTTTTAGAACTCGTGAAAGCTTTTCGCTCAAAATCCACCTCGACAGCACAAAACACTTTTTTCTTTTTCTCTAACAGTTTCTTGTCTGCAAATTGAAGATTCGTCGCTTTGATGATGTGTAGCGAGACCATTCCGGAGACAGCATGTGAAGATAACAAATTGTGTCCACTATAATCATCCGGAAATATCAAGAAGCCATCTTCAGCCTCGCTTCTAAGCAAATCATTGTCAGTCATGTCCTTATCGGCAAGCTGATTGGTTAAGCTCTTGTCACTGATCGAAGCAAAGCTAGCGCGCCTTATGCTAAGAGGTGAAAACCTTGAGTTTGTAGCAAGCGAGAGATTTCCATTTGGCTTGGTTTGTTCCTCTTGAACTGCTACTAACAAGTTCGGCTGTGATGAGCGACTAGCAAGTCTCCGGGGAAGGCTTGGTGGCTGTAATCCGCCGGAGGAACGCGATTGAAGCAGCACTGAACTTTTCTGCTGATCAAACATTTTTTCGTGCAGGGTCTCACCTTTAAGGACGGACTGTTGAGCCGAAGAAGGGATTTTATAAGATTCAGTCCTCTCTCCATGCCTATCTTTGCTCTTTTCCGTCAAATCATTTGTATCTGAGTGATTCCTAAAGGCCAAAGCATTGAAAATTTGGCTTAGCGACAATCCGGAATCCCTCCGCGAAGGTGACAGCGTCGGCGATTTATCTTCCGGTGATTCACTATCCGACAGTCCACTCCCACCCTTTCGACTGGACTTTCTACTGTCTTGTCTTTCTGAAGATAATTGACCTTTCTGTTCTGTCACGCTTGGTGACTCTTTGTGGGCGGCCACTGGAGACGGGGGTGGTGTAGGGAGCATTCTTCGGCTCCTCGGTTCAACTGGTACAGTCAAGAGCGGATTAGCAGCTGTGGGAGAAGACGAAGCAGAACTCTCATTGCCACTCTCACCAACTGAGCGTTCGCTCCCGGACCGACTCGACCTACCACTGTCCGAAGGCACAGATGGAAGTCTTCGTCGCATCTTCGGGCTCCCTCCTGGGGAGCCCGGAAGACTTCGTGAATTCATTATCGCCGAAATGACGTTAACGGAATCGTCTTCAGAGATGCTGTCTTTTTCGGCATTAATTTTTTGACTGGAAGGTTTTGCAGACTTGTAATCGTCGGGATCGTCGAAGATAAGGTTGACCGTTGTGACAGGAGTTAAAGTGCTGGATCTCCGGGCCGCGGTCGGCGGAGTTCTCTTCGACAAAATTATGCTATCGGCTGATGGCTTTCTCGTAGGAATCCCAGGATTTCTTGGCAATCGTCCTGTCTGTCTCGTCTGAGAGCTCTTAACACTTCGTGCCTCTTCCCCCGACTTAGATAACTGGCTTTGATCCAGCGGAAAACTTCCAGAGTGTTCTAAACTTCGTTTAGCGTGCTGGAATCGAGTATTCTGCGCTCGAATCGCGTTAATAAGGTCCTCGATAGTCGATGATCCCTCCGAACGCACCGATGATCTTGAAAAGTCCCGAAACTCATTTGCATTTTTATCGACATTAAAAGCTTCCGTCTCTATTTGCATAGTTTGTTTGCTATGTTTGCTCGCCTCGCTGTAGTCACTCGCGCGGGAAGCCTTATTTTTAGGCCTATACTCCCGCGATGATCCTTTTTCCGTTTTTCTATTGTTTGTAGTTACATAGCCATAAGATTCCCCCACCGATGAGCTTCGCTTGAAAACAGAGGCGTTCGTTTTGATCGTCAAAATTAATTTTCGAGGGATCTGAATAAGTCGCACTACATCATCCAGAGAAAAACCTTCAACATCGACATGATTTACCGCAACAATTTCATCTCCAACTTTGAGAAGTCCATTCGCTTCGACTACGCTCCCTTTAGCAATACGTGAAACAAATATCCCATACTTTCTGAGTAACCCATCGCCTTGACGAATAAAAAAACCAAGGGGTAATGTAGAATGTTTCACAATCGGCACATTTTGAATAATATATCGACCTGTTTCGTCCAAGGGATCTCCTTGTTTAACGTCAAGGGGACGACCATCGTTGAATTTTTTTGACCTTAAGCCTTTTTCCTCTACGTCATTTGGCACCGTTGTTGCCAACTCGCTCCTTTTTGTTATGGTACCAACATCTTCTTTGTCAATCTCTTGTACCTTTGCCACGACGTCAGACGTTAAGCTCTTCCAAGCGACCTTTTGTGCTCTTGTATCGTCTATTTCGCTGGTGTTGTAACCGTTATGCGCCGTTCTCCTAGCCATGGAGCCCTCGTCGCGAAAACTGAACTCGATCTCGTTCAATTCGCTCACAACTGTTGACATTGCAAAACCTGTTCATAAAATTCTTTATAAAACTGTCGATGTATCTCTCATATCCACAATGATATACAGCAATATGTCAACTTCACCTTCAGGTCATGTTTGCCTAATTGGATAAATCGTGTAGCAGTAAATTTTTCCGCATCGCAAGATGTCGGCATCCTGGCGTCCGTGGCGTACCACAGTCGCGATGTTCATCTGAACAACGAGCTGGCTTCAAGGTGCACTCAAGAACTTCCAATATTCCTTTGTGAAACGAAAATTTCCACTTAAAAGGTCCAAAGGGATTACAGTTTCACACCTCGTGTATATACTTAACCACTGAAAACGTCCCTGCACTACGTTTGCATTGTGAAAGCATAATTACGAAAATTTGCATTCTGACGCGAAACCTTTTCCTACCCACGAGCAAATTTACTAGCCAAGACCAGTCGCCCATAGAGAGAAATATTTCTAATTTGCAGCTAAAGATTATTTGTTTATGTCTCGAACTGTCTAGTACGAAAATATAGCATCAAATATTATCCACCGAACGTAGATTGCCTAATGAGGCGATCAATTCAAACAAACGCAATTGCAGACGAGACCCCTTTCAAAACAATAGATTCTAAATAAAACGGTGGCAGAAAAGCACGCAAAACTATCTTGGGGGTACTTTCAATGTTTGATAACGTTATTTGCAACATTACGGAGAGACTTTGAAACAAATAAACATATAATGTTAACACTGCAATATAAGCAAACGAGAGAATATGGAATTAGGAATTTATTTGAACTTTCATCTATCTTAAAAGGATCTAAAGTTAAAAATAAAGCAATGTTTAAATTTAAGTGCCTTTGTTGTGTTTACAAAGTAATGAAAAAATATAGTCCCAACGCTAAACAATATTATTGTAACCACATGAAAAGCAGATATTCCTTACATTAAAGAAATAAGGTCGGGATTATTAAGTTGATGTACGTTCGAAATAATGTTTATAAAATCTAATTTTGCAATCAAAGACGCTTTTTTGTTGCCAAACAAAAAATAATTTCATATATTATAAATGCAAATAAAATGTTTTTCATCATTGACCTTAGCTTTGCACTAAAATAAAGAAAACCAGTAAAATAATTTCGGTGATTAACTTTGCGACACTATAATCGCATTTCGTGAATCCTTTCAAGATTTTTTTTTTTCATATTGAGTAATGACTTAAACAGCCTGAAAAGTCGCGACAAAATGGCTATATCTACCAAAAAGCGGACGTTAAATTGAATAGATTCCAAAACAACAGAAAATTTAAGTAAACATAAATTTCCTGAAAGAAATACATTTTATTGTTAACTTTCGGAAATAGAAAATAATGAAGCGGGAGACTTCAACAGAGAAATACAAATAGTGTCGATTATATAAGACGAGAATTGGGAACTGTATAATGTGAATTGAAGTAAACTAACAAATATAAACGACATAAAATAATTTCACTTGGAAATTAAATGTTATCAAAAAATAGTCTTCACATTTGTTTTCTTTAGTACAAAAAGAGGCAAGAAAAAAATAAAGAGGAAATTTCCAATGAGTGATACCCACAACCGACAGCTGTACTTGTTAACTATGAAAATGGAAACAGTAAATACACGAGTTTTCAAATTAAGTTAGTCCTTTCGACGATCTACTGCGAGAAACAAATATCACTGATATTGTTACCTCTCACCTGGTGATATTTTAAACCCTGTAGCTATAGAGATAACTTACAACAAGAAATTTACATTTAGTTGACGTTTGTCGTGTAGCTGGAAAGAAAAATTTAGGAATAGAAATTTTAAAGTTCTTCAGTTCTAGAGATGAAAAAAAATCTTATTAAATATGTACAATAAACGACCTGCTTGGTTAAAAGGCATATCATAGTTTCTTTAGAGAAAATAAATTGGTTGTTTTTGCCAAACAATAAGACTAATTTTAGTTTCTTCTCCTTCTATTTTTTTGAGAAATCTGAATATTAAAAATTTGGAGACAACAGTACTTGTGGCCGAATTATTGATATCGACTTACAGACCTAAAATTAGTTCAAGTCAGACAGTTAGTCTCGCTTTTACGATGATTCCTTCACTGGGATTTTTTTCTTCAGATAACTAAACAGCGTATTTTGAAACCGAAATTACGTACGCAAGAAAAGAGAAAATAAATCTACATTCTTTTATCGCTGTTTTAAAACGAATGATCTTGAAAGCGTCTCAGGTGACAGCGTAAGTTCAAAAAGCCACAAATCCGATACAATTAATGTTCAAGAACTCTATGAAATCTTTGCTTGTCACAAACAGAGACCGATGTAGCTAATGCCTTTGACCTAATAATTCGCGATGTAAAGGTTAAATAACTAAAGTAAAATGGTACGGGGTATTTGTCCTATGTGTATAATGTTCTCCACCGGATAAGTCACAATCCGACGTTTAAGTGGATAATGACTTAGTTATTACTGAATACAATGAGACCCCGATATAACAAACTTCTAGTGACTACGTTTGACGTGGAAGAACCCACGCCAAATAGCAATTGGAGTGAGATTGTATCGGACAATCGGTGGAGTTTGACTGAACGGATATGATCAGGGGTACCCAAAGAGAATATAGTTCAAAACCACTTAAACATAGCATTGTCAAACGTATTTTAATATTTAAACGGTAGATATAGGCATATTTTTATCCCCTAAAATTTTTCATCTGTTCGGATTTCCCAGCTGAAAGTCTAGTGATCCGAAAATCATAGGGATCAAAACTTACCGTTTCGAAATTTTCAGCCAAAAAAAAGGTCCCGAAAATTCTAGGTAACCTTTTTAGGGTAAAACTCCGTTAAAAATGGGCAATTAAACCATTTTTTAGATGTTCGAAAATCCTAGGAGAGGCACGCAAGCAAGAAATTTCACAACAACTCAGTTTTCCGAAAATTCTAGATCTCAAATCGTCTTCCGAACAGATATTTTCCAAAACTTGAAGCTGGGTGCCCCTGATATGATCTTTATAATTGGCCCGGACATCATCATCAACTTGCCAAAGGGAAGAGGGAGAGAGAAGGTTCGGGATCGAGATCGATCGAATTTCTTCCGCGAACTACTTTATAACCAGTACAAACACTTCAGTATAAGGAATTAAAACACTTCGTTCTAGCTATAATAAAAATGTGAAAAGACAGCAACATAGTATTGTTCCAGTCCCTAGTCTATTATAGGGACTTTTTTATATCGGAGTTTCAATGTAGCAGTTAACGTCTGGCACGAGGGAGATTTGTACACCAAATGATACTTCTTGTGTCAGTTACCCCAACAGAAAAAAAATTACAAGCTTTATCAACTAAGCTGACCAGTAACGTAAATTGTTGAACGTTCTGGAAGACATTTATTAGCTGGCGTTTCGACAGCTACACCTACCCTTCTTGTTCCCAGCGAATCCGATATGGGCTCGGGCGAGAAAGATAAACTTATGAATTCCTAGCCTTAGGCCGCCAATTTGCTTTAACGACTCAGCTGAGAAAAGTCAAATTTCTGCCATTCGTTTCGTTACTGACGGCACCACACCACTCTAAAAACTAACCGTTTTAACCATTCACAGAGTGAAAACATTTTGAAACAAAAGAAAAAGAAACTTTAGATTTCTCTTAATCCATGACTAGACTGAGAAAATTCGCTTCGGAAGCCATGACCATTAAAAGCTATTAAACAGTACTTTCCTGTGGAAATGCCTCAATACGCCGCCATGCGATAGGGTCCAACTTCTTAGGGCCTGCGAGGAAAGGAACCATTTACGGTTTCTGGCGATGGTCCTTATTTCCAGAGGCTCAGGATATGAGTGGACTTAGTGGACCTCTGTGTACATTTCTCGTGGCTTGGTTCCTCTGCGCGGTCGTGGCCTTGGGACTGTGGCGCCATGTTTGGGCGATTTCCTCAGCGCATGGTATTTCCACGCTTCGGAAATTTGTTTAATCTAGGGCGGAAATAAGATGGGGGCATGTAAACTTCCTTGTGAGCTGTTATCGACCTTTTAGTAAGCTAAAATGAAAGCTACAGAGCAGCATTTCCTAGAGGCGCTGTTTATTGGCTACCTGTTCAAGCCTTCGAGCCCAAACGCTGGTGAACCAGCCTACGTAACTGACGGTATTGTTGGAAAGCGCGTTCGAACGAGCGGGGGAACCGCGAAAAAAGTTTCTCTCGTCACCTTTTCCCCATTATTCTCGCGGGTTCACCTCTCGTTTGTAGCGCGCACGTTCCCAAACAAAACCGACAGCACAGAGTGTGGACTCAACTGTGGGGAGAATGAGATTTAGATTGAAGTTAACAGCAAACGGCGAACATCAGATCAAAGACAAAACTTCTCAAATAACGAAATAAGCAGATTAAAATGGTGCTAGATAATTGTTTTGCATGAATCTGGCGCAAAACGTCTTATTTTCGGGTAAATATAATGAACCGTAAACGACAAGAAAAGGGAAATCCTGGTCAAGTGATACAAATTGACGTTTGCCGTACACGTGATTCTAAGGGTATGTTCACACTGTCCCGGATAGGTTTTTTTGCCGACACAAAAAAACTATCTGTTATAGTGTGAGCACCTATCCGGTATGTGACTCTCCGCTTTTGAGATAGGCGCGCCGTTACAGAAATCGCGCCAAAATCACCGTTCTTATGTGTGAACAGGTGGCCTGTCCGGTATGGTTTTCCCGCCGACGCAAGAGCTATCCGGTAGTGAGTGAGAACATGGCCTAAATCTCTCTGGTCAAATTAATGGTGTATTTCAAGACGGTTTAATAAAAAAGTTGGTTGCAGCGAATCGACTTTATGATGCAGCGAAACGACTTGTAGCGAAACGACCGTAAACCAAATTAAAAATCTCGCGCTTACCGGAATCATTTTATCTTTCTCGTTTTCTTGTTCAACTTGTTTCAGCTCTTCTGGTGTTAGTAATGACAGCCTGACATGTTTGATCACATTCTGAGCAACCTCGGCTACTGACTTACCAAGAACAACCTGTAATAAGAAACACAAAAAAGAAAAACGCACCTCAGTGAAAAAAAAGTGTTGCTAGCAGAGATCTTTCTGGAGTAAACCCAAAAATTTTAGATGGCGAGCAGTATGTTTCTTAAGGGGCACTCTGGTCATGCATGGTTGTTTTTTGGGAGAACTGATGTTGAGTAATCGGTTTAATGACAGGGTTTCCACATTGTGGCTCCTCATCTGTTACTAATAACTATAAAATAAAAATATGTATCAAATATTTACAATAAAAATATACTAAAACATAGAATAAATAACGATTAAAAGAGAAAGTACTTACAATGATCGTATGAATAAAACTTAAAGAAGATAAGCTGGCCTGTGTCCGGTTCTTTAAGAATTTAAAAATGCGCGAACTAATAGATTAAAATCGTCACATTTTTTACGATTATCAGGAAGGTTATTAAAAAGGGCAGCCGCAGTGTCCTGGAATGTTCCACTATCCAGAGGAACTTGTAATCTTATAGAGCCTGAAGAGTGCAAACTTCTACATATAGAGACTCTCTGTAAGTTTAAATATTAAGGCCACTGCTTAGCATGAAGTGGTTTAGGGTAGAAAAGGTATGCACATGAACTAGTTAGTCACACAAAGATTTCAGATTTAGATTCAGATTTTATTGTTTGGCGGAATGACTTTCATTCTGGAACGAGTTCTTCTCATCTCCATATAATTCTCTGTATATATTTTGTTTACATGATACCGAAACAACATTTTTTTCTTGTAAAAGTCATTTCGGAATGAGTTCAATCAGGTTTTTTAATCCAAATACAATTCTTTTTCTGGTAAGAAACTTCATTCTGGCATCATGCAAGCTGAAAACGAACTTTGTTCGTAATTGAAAATCGCAAAACGTGTAGTCTGGGGGGCAAAAGGCACATTACGTATCTGATCTAGTGCAAGCGAGAACGCCTTAGACCAAGACAGTCAATTTTATCATGTGAATGCAGTTCAAACTTCTCCAGAATGAAAGTCATTATGGTATGATGTAAACAAGAATTTCTCGCCTTCTTTTCAAGGACCTAAGTTTTTTAATTCACTTGACAACAAGGTCATCAACTTTTAACAATTAAGAAAAAACTGAAGATTAAATTATTAAGTAAATATGAAAACCGATTATAAATCTTTCCATCTACAACTTTTCACCATCTTTTCTTCAATAGATGTAACCAGCTCTAGCCCAAAATTCGAGGAGGCCTAACCTCTCCTAAGCTCCTATAATTTCTGTTAGGTCTCCTCGCCACTTCTTTTTTCTCCTATCCTATCTTATTTGTAATTCATTTTCTATTATTGTGTGGAAAATAAAATAAAATAAAAACAGCCCCTATGTATTAAAAGTTTACTTTAGGAGTAAACACAGTGCCTTACAGAATTGACTGTGGCCCATTCCCTCACGGCTGCAAGAACCTCCAACTCATCCATCATCAGTTTATCACTTTGGAGTAGTTGTGCCAAAGCCTCCTCGGACAACTCATGAAAACCTTTTGTTCTGAAAACACTTTCGGTGTTTTCTTCAATGAATTCTAAACAGCGTTCTCTTAACTCTTCCTGTCCATAAGTAACAGCAATCTAGGTGAAAAGGACAAAATGTGCGTTAAGTGTTTTGCTAAAGCTGTCTCTGGCAAACCATTTTAGCTCAAAATATAAATAAAACACACCACACAAATCATATGGGTTCCTTCTGTAGGTACCAGAGGCTCAGATTACGTACCACAAAAGAAACAATACAACAAACAATAAAGCCTTCAGGAGAACTCTATTGTTTGGTTCTTTTGTTTCTTTTGCGTTGACAGTACGCGCACTGAGAAAAACATAACAAACGCAGGTAAAGACGTGTAAAACCTGCATCTATGAAAATTATACAAGCAAGGGGGCTATATTTTCTAATCACATGATTTCCATATTATTGGTCAATTTTATCCTTAGCTCAAATATTATAACACTTAACCTGCAATTAGGGTTAGCGCAGGGCAAAGCCCAGGATGGGGTTGTGTGGTGACATGCGAAGGTCTTATGTCCAAGCCAGGGTGTAGAGGCTGAGTGAGTGAGTGAGTGTCAGATATTATTATATTGTTGTTTGTTTTGGGTATGATAATGCACAATAATGTTTGAAACAAGGGGATTAATACTTGAACCAACGATAAAACATATGCATTTACAAACCTGCATAGCTTCAGAGGCTGTCTCTATTGCCAGTGTTTCACCAATGAACTGCTCACAAATCTACAAAAAAAAAAAACAAAGAAAAAGTCAGCCATTCAAAGAGAAGCACACATGCACACTAAGTCCTTCGTAGTCGTGCGGTTTTGTTCTGTCACACCTCCAGGGCTTGAACTAAACTTGACTTCCAGTGCTTTCCTGGGAACACTTAGCTTCTTGCTTGTCTTAATTACTGATTTTTTTAGAGGATGTGAGTGAGTTTTAAAACTTACTTGCCTCAGATCTCCAGACGGGACTCTTTTCGAGCCCTGAGCACTCATTACTCCATCGTTCCCTTGGCCACTTTGAGGCCTAAGAAACTCAGTCCGCTCACTTTATAGCTTTTCTGCTGCAATACTCACGAGGTAGACTTGTGGCAAATTTAACAAGTAAATGGGCTGAAGAACTGAAAGAAATCACAGCAAATCACCTTTTGAAGTTGCTCCAGATTGTATTCCATGGCACACCCCATTATATCCATTACCTACAAGAAAATTACATTATTATCAGGCAAGTTTATACTTTAATAGAGTGAAGGTGCATGAAAAATATAGGGTACAAAAACCCTCCAAGTAGCAACCATTTTGGACACCATGGCGCCTAAAATTCTGGAGCTGGCGACTTGATTTGTAAAAAGGTCTCCCTAAACCAAAAGAGTTGGTTGCCAAATGGCAACCAAGGAAAAACTTTAACTTGGAGGGTTGTACAAGACAGATGGGAATGTGAAAAATGAAAGATTGGAACGTAAAAACTGTAAGATTAGAATGTGAAAATTTGTAAGATTGAAACATGAAAAATCAAAGATTGGAACACAAAAAATTTAGGGAGCTATAAAGACTGGGGCTTGCTGGACACACTGTAAGTCCCACAATATTTTTGATGCTCCTGCTATACAGGCTAGATTTTCAGATGGTCCAAAATTGCCCATTCCAGTTTTAAGCAATAATCATTTTACAATATTTACAAAAATCATGCCAACAGTGGTCTTATTTGTTTAATTATCTAATACTGATCCCTAGGGAGGGGAGGAAGGGAAGTTACCTTCTTATGCAAACTCACCAACCCTCCCCCAAAAGGACAAAGGAACAAAGCAGACTCACATTTTTACTGTTCAAAGTGCATGTATTGGTGTAAAGAAATTCCAGAAGAGACATAAAGACTTCAGGTGTGACATCAGCTAGAACAAGCGGTACATCCTGTTGATCAGGTTTCTGTCTGGCATTGTCTTTTTGATCCAACAGCATTGCTTTGAAAACTTCACACCTTTATCAAAAGAGAGCGGGTGAACAGCTAAGTACTGATCTATTAAGAGTATTTCAGGTGGAGTTAGTGACCAAGAGAAAAAAAAAGACAGTACAGGGTGCAAAGAAAGTCATTTTTAGAGTTTGCCATTTGGGCAAACTGAGGCTAGCATATACTAGCCCAAACATCATTTCAACTAGCCCCAAAACCTTTTTGACAAGCAGAATTGATTTCACAGTTCTTTTGGAATTTGAATTCCCCAAAAAACTTCACTTGCTCAACAGGCAAGTTAAGAACAGAATTCACTAGCCCAATAGAAAATACACTAGCCCCGGGCTATCAGGCACTACTTTCTTTGCATGCGACAGCAGCCTATCACACAAATCTACCAGACAGTTAGTCTGAGAAGAACAGCCGAGATTTCATCGCGTCACCACTGGTTTCCCTTACAAATGACTTCTGAGGAACAATCCCAGAAATAAAGTGTCACTACCCAAATCTGAGTAGTGCTTTTGAATGGTCAGGCTGCAAAGGAAATTTCCAAAGTTTCAACCAATCAGAGGCACAATCCAGATCTGGGTTGTGAAATTCACCAGTGTGGAACTTTTGCAGTTTTTCCTTAGACGTCCTTTTGGGGGTTTGGGGAGAACCAGTGGTAGCACTGTGAAATACTACAATCAGGGACAAAAGTAGTTGACACACTTGTTTAAAATGGGTGCTTTTAGTAAACATTTAATTCATCTATTATTTCATTCTTTTTAAACGCCGTAAATCCCCTCACCCCCCGAATCAATGTTGTCTGAAGTAAAAAAAAGAGTTGAGGGTCCAAAATTCAACATTGATTTTGGGGGGGAAGGGGTTGGGGTAGACAGGGGAATGGGATAAGTATATCCACTATGCAAAAAGGGGCCATTTTACGGAAGTGTGCCAACACTTTTGTCCCTCATTGTAGCTGTTTTCTCAGGTTACTATGCAGTCAAACCTGCATTACCCTTGATCACTCCTTGACCAAGTTATGACAATACAGTTGTCACTCAAACTTCTAATCAACTACTACAGTCTTCTCATCCTCGGAGACCCAGGGGCAGTTAGTCAGGACAATACAATGTTCCAGCTTACAGTAAACTTTCACCGTGAAAATTGTATCATCGCGACTAACTGCCCCTGGGTCTCCAAGGATGCAGTCTACTAGAACTATCATAAATTCAAAAGGGGAAAACTGTGCATTTCAGTCATGCATGAAAAATTATGCATCATTGCATTTGCTTTGGCTCATGTAAAGTCCAACATCTGAATCAACGCTGGTCCACAAGCCTATCTGAGCTGATCCACATTCATCATCAATTAGCCATTTTGAATTGATTGAAGCCCCATTTACACGCACTAAAAAAATCGGCATGGCACGCCAAATTTTTGGCACCGTGCTGAAGATTTTAAGACACGGCACTCCCAATTTCGACAGGTAAACGTACCGGTCCCAAATGAAATGTGGCACCAGTGCTCAAAATTTTACGGGTGCTGAGACTACCTCCCGGAGGTAGTCTCAGAACGGGTAAACGAGGCACAGTACCCAAAATTTGGTATGTCATGCCCATTTTTTTAGTGTGTGTAAATGAGGTTTTAGATGCTGTATTTGACACCAACTTAATTTGCTGAATTTGATTCAGCTCACATGATGTATGGCATCTGATCTGGGGCCTAACAATATCAACGATTACACTCATGATGTCTTACATACCTAGCCATTAGTATTGCTTTGTTGGCTCGAACTACTTTTCTGTTTGCTCCGACAATGAACTTCACATCACTGCAGACAGTACATAATATGAAAAATATGGCTTTTAATCATTGACAACAAGATCACATACACTGTGTTCTTTCTTATTTTAGTAATTTGTATAGATCAAAATACCTCTTAAACGGTTGACAGTGACTGTTAATAATCTTGTTCGATAATTAACCACAGCCCACTCTTTCTTCTCACCTTTGAGATTTAGATAAATTCGAGTACAATCCAAATTTATCTTACAATGAGAATGTGAAGATTTGAGATTTAAGTAAAGTTAATTTTGGCAAGGACTTGGCAAGTTGTCAATGACTACTTTTCACGATCAAATAAAAGACAAACAACCAGTTGCCAAGTTTGAACAACAAACTCGATCAAATCAATGTGATATTTAGTTCATTACAAACCTGAATTCTTTCTTGTCAATAATTCCTCTCATATCGTCAGCAAATGCCCAAGGGCATCCTGGAATGGATCGCTCTTGGGCCATATTAAACTTGCATGAAGAACAATCAAACGAAAATCACATTTCGATCAAATATTCTCCAAAAAAAAAAAAGCGCGCGTCTTTGTGTTTATCTGCCAGGCGACAATCAACAACACAATACAGGGAGTGGGAACGAGTGCCATGAGTGGTTTCCTCGGTCATGTAAACAAGAACGAAATGCTCTGGCAAATATTTTCATCAAACTTAGAAGGGGGATTCAAAAATCCTCTAAGGTGCCGTTAAGAAAGCCAGCCATTTCGGCTGAAACCAGAGCAAAACAAGAAAATTTAGAACTGGACAGGCTTCTATCATTTATAGCGGCCCGGTGAGGGGTTGGGGAAGGGGTTGCGAAAAATTTAATTTGGCTGTTTGTGTTAAGCGTCCTTCCTGAACTCCTTAGCCTATTTCACACCCAAACGGTTCACATCTTGTTTCAATTGAGGTTTCTGGGTAACTGACTACCTACCCCTCCACTAAGTTAACATTAACGCTTACTCCTCACTTAGGACAAAATGTTGGCTGAGGGGAGGGGTAGGTAGTCAATTACCCAGAGACCTCAATTATTTCAAATCTCTATAGGGTAAAACACGTACCCTTTGGCGCCGCCCTTCGCTATATAGCTGGAGAGACTACATCCGATCCCCAGTCCTCCTTCCGTTATGTAGACGGGCTTATTTGTTTTTTATCGCCTCGGATGGGAACACTAAGCTTATAAGAAGCTGGGAGAAAAACGAGAGTATTTTCCCCTTGGTGATAATTCAGACGCTAGACTACTTGTCTTGACAGATTCCTTCACATTGTTCTGTTTATTGTTGTTTATCATTTTACAAATACAATTTTAGATTTGTATGCATGCAGTTATGCTTCATGACTTTGTCTGGGTTGACCATTTGACACAGTTGTATTTCGGTGTTTGTGAAAGACACTGTGTAAACAATACTCTAGATTGAAAAGCGCAAAAATACTTTATTGATCTGGCCGTATCAACTATTATCAACTAAAATGCTTTAAAACGTCGTGGCAGTAGCAATGTTCCACTATTGCAATTGGTAAAAAATAGCCTCTCGTAAGCAAACACAGATATTTACAACAGTTTCTTTTTTTAATTCAGTATGTATGTTTGGGTATGGTAATATATGCTAATAAATTTGACACAAAGGAAAAACAAAAATTAACCGAAATAAAAAATTAACCACAACATGTACACTCAGTAATGGCCACACAAGAATCTTTCACTCCCCTTTGTCCTATCTGCGTTTTTGCGAAGGACACAAGGCCAACTCTCTATAAGACGGAATCATAACTAGTTGTCCCTTTGAACTACGTATTCACCTTATGGAGTCCAACAGAGCCCGCGTAGCAATCGATTTTTTGGTGTTTTTCGTTAGCGTTTTGTAAATAAAGATGTCAAACGAGAAACCGATGAGGGAGGGGGCAAGAGAAAGTTCTTTCCCTCGCCCCTCCCCCTTCGTTTTCCCGTTTGAACTCGGCTCAGATTTCGCACGGCTGTATCTCTTACTTCACGAAACACAAATAAAACAAACACCCACAAAAACAAACGCCAGCTATGGGGGCTAATTCCAAGGTTGGCATGGGCTGTCCTAGTGAGGTGTCCGTCTGAAGATTGCATGGAAGAATTTCCAGCATTTTTAATTTAATCACTGCATGTTAGTGACGAAATTTCTTTTAAAAGCTATATACGAAAAGTATGCCTATTTTCTTAACAGGCAGGAATCTAAAAAAATTTATACTTCAAAAATCAAATATTCAAGCTTATTTGGTTTATTTACAATTCAAGGCTACAAAAAGTTAAGACCAGGAAAAGTATGGCAAGGAATGTAGTGTTGGCAGTGACTTGATGATTCTGTTTGAATAGAACTTAGAACAGCTACAGACCAGTATCTGACGAGTCTACCCGGTTACAGGCAAGGCTTGACAAAACCTGTGTTTTGATGACCGTTTTCTTAAGGAAAATTCTTCCTTGCAAATCAAGACACATGTAAGACTTTATCTTCATCCCTTGATTTGGACAAACGCAAGTTTGGCTTCCGTTTGCCTTAGATTTTTGATGTTATACGAATTCCCTGAAAAACAAAACAGAAGATAACTAAGAATGGTCGCCGCATAATGAAAAAAAATCTTTACAGTTCCTCGTTCCGCGTATATATGTAGATTTTGACCAACGAAAACACACAAGCAAAGGGGAGGAAACTTGTCGAAAGAGATGAATGTTCAAAGGAAACAAATGGGAAGCTGTTGCGCGTCCAAAAGTGTAGCGAAAAGTAAACGCTTAGGAAAACCCCAAGTCCGGTGGTTTCCTATGCTGTGTAAACAAGACCTGATGAGGCCAAAACGGCAGTCCACGGTTTGCTAACCTCTGCGTCGGACATTTTTTTTCGAGCCCACGAACCCATGAAAAGGTGTTTGAAATCTGCTATGAAGCAATTAAGCTGGTTTGTAGGTAAGATTTTGACTTTAAAATCTGGCTTTCGCAAAATAAATTAACGGGCACTTTTGACGACAGCGCCACACACTCTTGAGATAAACATACATAGCAGTGTTGTAGGTCAACCCTTGGCGCCAGAGGCTTTTCTTACGCAGTTTCCCGTTTCGGCCAAGTCTTAATTAGTGAAAAACACGCGCAAAAATCGGGTTTATTCCCTCAAAAAAGCGGTTATCATTTTCTCGTGGCTTTGCAACCCGTGGCCTCGGCTCTGACCGAAGATGTGTCGGCCGTAAGGCCGACCAGCATCTCACCGCAAATGTCGCACGCGAGAGAAAAAAAATTGTACCCAGTGTAGGGTAAGCCCATAGAAGGTATAAAATTCATAAAAAGTAATAAAACTCACCTTGAGGAACAAAAAAGGTCGATCCAGTACCAAGAACGACAGAAGACTGGTGAACTGTGACCATGATGCGGCCTTTTATGACGTAAAACACCTTCAAAAAGTTAAAACAAACTACAAGTCAGAGTTCTTAATCGGAAATTAATCGAGGCTCTTGTCTCGATGTAGTCTTGAATGTCAAAGTTACTTTCGTTTTTTAAAATACCCTTTCTTATGTTTATAACTGGCACAAAATTTCGCGCCAGTTTTTAGCCAATCAGAAAGAAGAAATATAATCAATTACTACTTGGTCACACGCGTTTTCCCGCGCTTTTGGTGGGCTGCATTTTATTTCGTCGACCATTGATTCGTTCATTTGATTGTCTGTGTTTGCCATTGACTAAAGTAGATACCTTGTTTGTCTTTATGACAATGAATTGAAAATGCTCTACCATTACAAGAAAACAGAATAGTTTAATTACAAATTTAAACCCTTCGCACTGACCCCTCTCCTAATTTACCAATTTTTAGCTACGATGTCGAGTTGAATTAATCACGAAAAAGTACGGGGAGTCAGTTTTCAGCGAAGTCTCATACCAACGATTGCATATCGCAAGGCCCCTGATTTCTGTAGTTTGTTTCCCATACGTCGAATTGCTCAAAATGAGAATAAGTAATAGCTTATTCAAATCTGTTTTGCAAAAAGGAGTGGCAAACAGTCGTCGAAAACTACCACTACATTTTGCGGCTCACGATGAATAACACAAAACTCACCATTGTATCGTTGCGAACAAACTGTCTCCCTTTCTCGGCTCCAGGCCTCAAAATCACTTGTCCACCCCCAAAGAGTGGCTGCGAAATGAACTTGTGAACGAGAAGCGGGTCATCATCCTGCGCGGGTTTACCCGCAGGATTCGAGAAGTTTAACATGCCTGGAACATGAAAAATGTCTGGAAGGAAAACGTCGTGGTTAATCGCCCTGCGCTTCTTTGGAAAAATGAAAAGACAATCTGGGATGCACACGAACTCAAAGTTGATTCAGTTGGAATCAATACTATCATGACTAGTTATGATAACAATTTATAGAGATGTGGAAAGAAAAGCACAATCAACAATGGCAAAATAGTGAGGTGCCCAAAATGTGACGTTCTTCACTCACCCATATCGACATCTTCGCTGGTTTCGGGGTTAAGAACGATTCCTTTAGGGTTGGTCACTTCTTCAAACCCTTCTAAGCCCTCCTGCAGCAAAAAATTCCAACTGTAAATTCCAGCTTTAAAACTATGCTGTTTGAAGTGGACGTATAATGGAGGGGCGGTGGGAAGCTTTTAAGCGGCGTGAAAAAAAAGCAACAGCTTACGCAAAAATGAAGCCAAAACGTAAGACTAAAATAAAACACTTCATATCATGATATCAATTAGTCTGCTACACAGCCGTTTTTAGTGTCGTCACGCAACCCTCCTCCCCAGAGTTGCGTGACGACACTAAAAACGGCTGTGTAGCAGACTAGATATCAATCGGCTACTGACTAATATACGTTTTACCATTAAAGAGCTGCAAACAGTCGTTCATCTTCATATTCCATGGCCTTTTCAAGTTTTCCCCGACCTTCGGTTTAGCTGTCACTAATCTATCAAACAAAACTTTAATTTTCCATGACCTTCCATGACTGAAGATTGAATTCCATGACTTTCCAGGCCTGGAAAATGAAATTCTTAAATTCCACGACTTTCCAGGTTTTCCATGACCTGTACGAAACCTGGACAATGTTTTGTGGCCGGACATGATGTCCACACAAAGGTAATACCAAGGACTATTCGTGGATACGCAATGGATCCTTAACTGAGTTCGACCAAAGTGATAACTTAACAAGGCTCTCCTGATTGAACAAAAAAACATTTGCAGCTCTGCCTTTACTAGTGTCTTAAGCGTACGCTTTTGAAACGTCACAACAAAACGAGTGATTGGCTAGACTTTTTTCTTTGTTTTGCGTTTTAAGAAGCTTACTTGAAAAACCCTTCATCAAATACTTACATTATCAAGCTCTTCTTCCGAGGATTCCATAGCGTTTACTAAAAAAAGTGAAACAGACGAGCAGTAAACTCAAAAACTTGACCTGCTCCCAATGTATGGGTATAGCACAGTAGGTTGAGCACTGCAGCTCTACCGCCGACGTTATGGTCTCGAATCCCATTGAAGCCCTAAGGTTTTTTTCGGGCTTAATTCGTAATCGCTTAAATGGCGATTACAACTGCAATGGTAATATCTGCATTTAAATTTGTATTTCCGCAGTTCATATTTTCCAGTTCATTCTAAACTAAAACGATTATGCCCCTGGAACGTCAATCATTTTAAAAGTACAAGTTCAAAAGAGATACCTGACTTTGGCTTCTTTTCGACACGTTTTTTGGTCTGTTTTGTTTTTCTTCTTGGCTTTGGTGTAGGAGTTGGGTTTCTTATGACTTTTTTTATGCACCAACCCCCTGACAAAAGAAAGTACAGCAACAACATTAGGCCTTGACGGTTTGATTTGTGCCTTCTCGTGTGACAAAATCACACACTACCACCCACTAGAAGCGAGTAACACACCATGTTGTGAATGACCATAAATACCCTTCACTAGAATAGATAAGATAAGAAAAAGTTCTGGCTTTCGTAGAAGATAGACTCCTAAATATAAATGTTGAGAACAGTTTCTGTCCGAGAAACAAGATCCGATTCGAATTAAAACAACAGGACCCCAGTGTTCTAGTTTCCATGGAAACTGTAACCTCAAAGACTAACTCCAATTACATCCCAATCAATTTCTCTTAGATACATCAAGTGTTCCTAAGGTCTTGCCCAGCCCTAGAATTCATGCCAGTTGGAGTCTAGAATACGCATGGTGTAGTTGAGTCTTTTGATATGAGCGCAATCAACTGTAGAGTGGTGGAAGAACTGTGATTGTGACAAACTTACTGACTTGTGACATTGTTGGTACTGAACTATCATTGCTGCTGGAGGCAAAATTGACATAAAAAGGAGAAGAAAAGGTGAGAAAAGAGGAAAGAAAAAAAGAGTCGATGGCAAAGAAGGATAAAAATCATTCCCATCTACTCTACCTGACTTTCGTCGCTCATAATCTATTCTCTCATTCTTCCAGTACTGTAATGGCGGCACAATAGTTCGCTTACTTCTTCTTGTGCTTTGTTCATCTGACACGTCTAAATCAAAAAACCAAAAGAATCAAGCAAAATTTCCATACAAATCATTCTCTGCAAAGAGCTTTCGCCATTTTTGACAACGAGAAGACTGCTCCTCGAATTGCATCACATGTAAAATATCCATTTTTGTCCAATTTTTTAGACGAAAGTAACCCCAAATCGACATATTAGTGCAAGAATGAGTGGATCTACATAAGAAATTTTGAAGCCGTTCAAAAAACTCGCAGTCGTTATTATCAGGTTTAAAATCTCGAGTTTAACTCCTGCTCGTTTTTTTAACAGTATACATGGCATATTATAATAATACTTTTATTTATACTATACATACTTAATAGAAAACGTTAATTGATCGTATTGAAGTTAATGAAAAAGATAGGGCAGGATTAGGGAAAAAAGAAACTGTCTATTTCCTCTCTAGATAGGAATAAACTGAACAGAAATAAAATGTAACACTGGGGTTTAAAAGTGAACATTACGAGAAAATAAGTAGAGTTCAGTTAGCAGTAGACTTTCTCAAAGTCGTTCGCTTGGTTTTCTGGTCTGGTGTGGTAGGACCCGAGCTTTCGCTCGCTCGCGCTCCGCGCTCGTACGATCGCGCTTCGCGCTCACAGTCGCGCTACGCGCTCAAAAGCTCGACTTGTGAGCAAGTCTAAGTTAGCAGTTGTCTACATAACAGCGACTTTGAAGTAGTTTACGTATCGTCAAGTAGTAGATTTACCAAACAGCACTGACTTCACTTGAAGACAGAATTTTAGAAGTCAGAATAATGAAAATCAGAAGAACACAACTCACCTTTATGGTGCTCAGCGTCATTAGCGAAAGTAACCTCTTCATCAGGATCGATGACTGAATCACCAGTGCTAGACGCACCACTAGCAGATCCAACGGACGACCTTATGGTCTTCGTGCTCCCAGGAGTGAATGTCCTGTCTGTTGACCTGAAACTGCTGTTTTTGGAAACGAACGATAGTCCAGGCAGAGGGGAACACTTGGAGGTTTCAGACACGGAAGGGTCTTGGGGCGAAGGTGCGACGAATGGCGCAGAGGCAAAGCTGACCGTTGAAAGGCGGTTCCTGTTGGGTTGTTTCGCTGGTAACGCGCTCTCGTCATCAGCGTCATTTCCATCCGAGTGAGTTTTGTCTGTGTTCATTTGTCTCTTCCTGGACGCTGTTGAAAGAAAGAAGGGATCGACGCAAGTTTCTCGGAAACTACCCACGTACCCCTCCCCTACAACAACATTAACACACACTGCTGACTTACGGCAAAATGTTGGCTCAAGGGAGGGGTGGGTGGGCGAAAGTTTTAGGCCTTCCACTTACTATTAGAGTAAGTAATGGGACATGATGTAGATACCACTTTTGAGCCTGAGGATGAAATACCAGAGTTGGAGCATTTAAATTAAAGCTACTGAGCAGCACTTTCCTGTGGTATTGTTTATCACGCTTTAAGGTAATTCTAACTTTTTGAGTCTGTGTATGAAATCCATGGTGTGACCATACCAATGATGGCCACTGAACAGTACTTTCCTTTGGTTCTGTTTATTATATTGTACTAGGTGATTCTAACTTTTGAGTCTGTGGATGAAATCCTGAAGTGTGACCATTCAAATGAAAGCTACTGAGCAGTACTTTCCTGTGGTACTGTTTATCACGCCATAAAAGGTGACTCTAACTTCTGAGTCTGTGGATGAAATCCTATGGTGTGGTAGGCAATGAAAATGTTACTGCTCTTAACTAATAGCTATGCCAGGTGCTTTTTCAAAGATCTCAATCTGAGCAAGATCAGATGTCCAAAATAATCATTCATACTTATAAACAATACCTGCATGTGTTCGCACCACACGACCACCAGACTTAAGAATCGACTTCAATTCAGTGGCTGGTTTACCAAGCGCGGAAAGTGGTCTTGGGGTCGTATCCTCAGATGGAATTTCTTCAAAAGTCCTGCCTTCAACTCCACCATCTTCGCTCACTGAATAATCTACATCACCTTCGTCATAGCCTTCGTTTTCATCGGCATTCTGCAGTGATTTCTCGTGACCATCCTTGGAACTCTTGGCGCTGTTTTTTTGTGCCACTGATTTTTTTCCTCCCTTAGAGTTGCCGCCAGACTGAGCGCCTCCACCACTTTTCCTCGAATTCACTGCAACCCAAGTTTTTGCGCTACGTTTCCCAGAATTCAACGCAGGTTCTTTCTCAGTTAATACTTCCTCTAATCTAGGTTTTTTGGCGTATGTTCCCTGCTCAGATTCAGTAGTACTTTCGGGACTACTCGCCGACACAGAAGCTTTTGAGCTGTTCACTTTATTTGCTCTTCGTTTTACCTCATATGGTGGTAATACAGAGGGCTTCCGCCGTCTTCTTCCCGTGCCACTGTTGTCCTTTTTCCTGGATTCTAAGCTGGATGAGGCATTGTTTGAAACAATGGTACTACCACTTCTTGTTTCCTGTTCAGCCTTCTCAGAGGAGGACTGATCTTCGTCCAACTCATCGACAGTATCCAATGCCATAACCCTGCTATTGTTCGCCATCGCATCACCTGTCGCGTAAAGCTCATCTTCTTGTCCTGTGTCTTCCGATTCCAAGACTCCATTATCTTCCTGATCTTCAACGTTGGGAACTACAGCGGAATCGGCAATATTGCCTTCTTCTTCATCTTGGTTGTCATCCCTTCTTTCAGTATTTGCTTGCCTTTTCCTCGAAGCCCTGGTCTTTCTTTTACTTGCTCCCGCTTTCCCGTCTCTTTTGCCTACCGAAGGCATGTTTACTTTTTCTTCTTCATCTTCCAGTCTTGAACCACCTCCAACGCCTTCTTTTCCCCCGTTTCCACCTTTTCTGTCGATTAAGGCATCCTCCGTTTTCTTCCTTTGCGCTCTGGTCTTCTCTTGACCAACTTTTTCGTATCCTGTGTTATTAGACCCCGCGTTCTCGTCGTCTATAACATCGTCAACACCACCTTCTTCATCTCCTTCCCCATCGCCATCTTTCCCTTGGAGTTTGTTATCAGCCTCTTTTCTCCTTTGCGCTCTGGTCTTTCGTCCACTCAGTTCAACTTGTTCATCTGATTCACTTCCTTTTGCGACATTCTTTCTTTGCTTTCCTGTTTTCAGCTCCGCAGGTCTGTCGTGATTGTCGGCACCCACATCACCGCTTTTATCTTCACGGACTTCTACTTTTTCATCTGTCTTTTCCTTCCTTCCTTTCACAGGCTCTTTTTGCTGTTGCCTGATGTTTGGGACACTTCTCCTCCCTTTCCCTCGTTTCTGCTCCTCTTTGTCATGAAGCCCTTCATCAGAGAAAACAGCGCTGGATCTACCATTGTTCTTCGAACTTTTTGACAGCTTCTGTGTTTGTACCTTGGTACCAGGCATACTCTTGGCTCGCCGTTTTCCTTTCTTCGCAACACCATCATTATCAACCTCCAAAGCCTCAGTTTCCGCAACCTTCGAGCTTTCAACATTGTTCTTTCGTCCTCTCGTTACTCTACTTTGCCCTGCCCTAGAACTAAATAACTCCGTTCCTTCATCAACGTCACCCGCGTTGTCAACTTCAACATTATCAATGCACACTTCTCCATTATCCTCGTGTCCTTCAATTGTCGACTCTTCCACCTTTTTCTGCCTTCCCCTTGCAGCATTTTGCTTAGCTTCTTGTTTCCTTCCCCTTGATGACTTGCTTTGGTTTTTATTGTCATTTGACGACCTTCCATCTGCTACATCACCACCATTCTTTATGCCGTGTGGACCATTCTGTTGCCCCTGCACTTTCTTCTGCTTTCCTCTCGGAGCTCTCTGTTTGATATTAACACTTACTCCCTTCTTTCTCACTGGAATCCTTGATTTCTTAACCTTTGGTGCCTGAGCATCATTCACATCTGGTTGACTGTCTGAGCAGGATCCAAACTCTGGCGACATTGTCTTGTGTTTTGTCCCTTCCAGAACAAAACTCTCACTCATAACAAAACTCTCCGCTTCGGCAGCAACGGGAGACTCATCTACCACGGTACTCTTTAAATTTTGCGTTGTGTTTCCAATAGTGAGAAATGTCTCATCTTCCTCAATTCCCTCCACATCAATGACTTCTTCATCATCATCAGACGTATCCTGTTGTTTTTGGTTTTGTTTGGCTTTTGTTGCTCTGCTATTTTTAGTCTTTTCTTTGGGTTTGGTAGCGGTTTGAGGGTGGTCATTAGAAACTACAGCTGACGGTGATTCAATCTCGACGTCAACAGCATCATTTTCAGAATCACTGTTCCCTGTCTTTCCATTCTTAACCGCCGTGCAGTTTACATCATGCAGTCCTCTTCTAATATGAAGACAAAGAGAACAAAACACTTACAAACTGAAAAATACACCAGATTAGATTCGACGACAAGGCAACTGCGAGGAGGAAATTTGACTTAAATTTTTTTTTCTCGAGTATTCTCAATAAATAGACATCACGGAAAGCTTTATTTCACTTTTTTTTCACACCAGAAAAGTTACACGGTTACTCTTATTGAAGGAGGTTAACAGCTCTCCCTATTGCAAAATAATAAAACTTCTAACATTTGATAACTCGTTTTCGCCATTACGAAATTCTCGCTAAAACTCGTAGTAGAATGGCGACGGCAATCGCGTTTTCCCGCCAAAATGGCACTGGTTCACGCGCACTACTTAGTAATTTGAAGAAATCTCGTTTTCGTAGTCGTCCTCGTCTTAGAATGTAAAGGTCTCTATTAATGTCTTTCATCACCTCGCCAGCAGGTAGTCTCATCAAGCCCAGAAAGTGCTTCAAGGGGGAAAAGAGTGCCTTTCATCCAGGCATAATTTCCTCTACTTATCATTAAAGGGGTGACAAGCAACTTGTGTCAAAGCATTATTATAATGTTCACAAAACTTCAAATCCAAACTTTAAAACAGAACTGCACTAACAAGAATGATCCTTTGAATAAGTGCCCATTCTTGGTGCTTGGGTGCTTATTAACGGAAATAAGGGGCTGTCCGCACCTGCTGCTTGGGAACCAGTGCCTGGGCACCAGCACAAAATGGTGTTGTGTTCACACTTTGAGTATCCAATATGTGACTGTGTACATAGTTACTCTATTTCGCCCTGTCAGACACCATTTTGAAACATGAGCTTAGCACAGAGAAAAAAGCAGTGGACTACCCAGAACTTACAAACATTGTGTGCACACAGGAACCAGGTGCCCACTTTTGTGCCTGAGCGGGCACTGGCACCCTGCCTGAATTCTAGGGTGGGTACTTGAAAAAATGGTGTGTTCACATTGGTGCCCAGCGACTACCACACTCAGGCACCGTGACCAGGCACCAAGTGTGAACGCTGAAATTGACAGTCAGTATTATAATGAAATAGTTCACTCAATGTGAAAACAAACCTGGCAGACTTTGGCTCGTTGGACTCTGATTCACTTAGCAATTCCCCATGTGAAAATGACAATCTGCAGACAAAGATGTGATACATATGTTGTGTTTAAATTTGTCAATTTCTTTATTGGTTTTACTTTCATTAATGGCCTGTGGCACCCCCTCCCAAGCTCATCTTTATGTGATGAGTTTAACATGAAAGTACATGGGGGTCGATCATCAGCGCTAAACAAAAACTTGAATTCCACTGGGCTGTCCTTTAGGAAAGCAGCTCTGAGTCATGGTTTGCTTGCCCAGGGCAACAACTTGCTTGTATTAGCTTATGTTTCAGTTGGAGGATGACTTTCCTGGACACTTGCCTGGAAGTGAGCTTTAACCCTTTACACCTTAAGATCAAAATTTGAATTCTCATTTGTTGCCCCAATTCATTTCCTACAGAAATAGTGGGGAGAAGTTGATAAAATATCAAACAAATTCTTCTTGTGTGATAATGTCCGTAATTCTCATGACCACTCTGTTTTACAAAGTCATTTGCTTGCCTAGCAACAAAAACTACATTCATCTGGAGTGACCAGACAGGACTTTACTGCAGCCCTGGTTCATGCTCATAATTGCGAGGGAGAATTCACAGCTCTCATCTTTTAGTAACCCACACCCTGAGTTCTTTTGGCTTGTCACACAATCCTTCCGAAGAACCCCTGACAAACCCCTTAGAACGATTGTGTAGGAAACTAATGTACATGTAGTATTGACAGCCTTGCTATCTAAATTCACATTGTTCACATCCTAAATGACGGTTCCTACCTCTTGCTGACTGGTCCTCTAACCTCTGGAGTTGGTTCAGAGGATGCAGCATTTTTAATAACAGTTCCAGTCTCATTTGGAGATTCACCAGTTATGGTAGGAGTAGCTGCTGTTTCCTCCTCTTCAGTATTATCAAAGGTACCTTCAGAATTTGTCTTCTCTGACAAGCCAACTTCAGTTGGTCTGTCGTCTGTTTCTGTGTTGCCTGACTGAACTTCTGCCGGAGACAATTCCTTTGATTTATCACCACCTTGAGGTTCACAGAAGATTGTGAATGTCAAATCTTTTTATCATAATAAATTGCACCTTAAGCTCAAAATGTACACGTTGACTTTTAGGCAGTGTGTTTCACAAATATATCACACTGGAAATTCAAAACACTCTCTTCTCCACAACATGAGTCTTTTTTTAACCACTTTTATTTGATAGAATTCCAAAGTTGTCCGGGAGCATATGTACTCCCGTGGTCATTTCATGAAGAAAGCAAGCAACTAGGCTAGTTATGTTCAGGGGACCTAAAAGAACAAGAAAAACAATGTTGCCACTTTTGCAACCCACACGGAGGCATTTTGTGGGGTATTTTAAAAAACAACGGCAAAAGCCCTGTGTGGAAATGAGGCTGAGGATGAAAATTTATCATTTAAAATGTTAGTTTTTTAAATTGAAACTTCTGTTTTTCCAACCTGATTCAGGAAAGTAATCCTCAACATTGTCAAATCCCTTGGAATCTTTTCTTGGGTTTATGCTGAGTATTTTTCCAGTTCTCCTGTTGAAGACAAGTACAGTACAAATCATCAGCAGTTGTCAATGTTGAATATGCAGCTGTTTTATATCAAAATTATTACTGACAGGAAAGTAACAGAAAGTTAAAAAATGTATGTTTTAATGAGTACTATCTTGTATGACAAAATATCTAGTTTGAATCTACACACCTTCCAACAAAATCTTTATCTGAACTTTGTGCATTGGGAACAATATTTTCCTCTTCTGGATCTATACAGGTGAAAAAGCAAAGAGTTAAGGAAGAAACAACAGATATAAACTTATGCAGTTATACTTTTAAGTTTTTCATCAATTAAATTAGGTTGAGACCAATTACTAGTCATTTGCCATAACATTTGGTAGGTCTCACTTAAGATCACAAAATAAATTAAGTAGTCTCAGCGTGCAAAGAAAGTAGTGTCCGATAGCCTGGGGTTAGTGGATTTTGCTATCGGGCTAGTGTTTTTTTTGTTTTTAACTTGCCTGAGGGGCAAGTGATGTTTTTTGAGCAATTCGAATAAAAGAAGAACTGTGAAATCAATTCTGCTAGTCAAAAAGCTTTTAGGGTTAGTTGAAATGATGTTTGGGCTAGTAAATGCTAGCTTCAGCTTGCCCGAATGGTAAGCTGTAAAAATGATTTTCTTTGCACTCTGAGTCCTGACCTGAAATATAAAGCTGGAATGAAAGAATACAAAATAAGATTAAGTCTGCTACCTATCAAAAAATAATTATAGCATTGTTTTTTTACACATTTCTGGACCAGATTATGCAATGGTCTCAGGGTCATGACCAACATTTGAAATTGTTTATCTTTATCTAAATAGTTGCAAGTAAAGTACGAAAATAATCTAGAGGGGAAACTTTCTCCAGGGCCGGGTTGTTCAAAGCTGGGTTAAGATAACCTGTAGTTAGTGCTAAATTTGAATTCAGAATTGAAAGCTTAAAAAGTAAATTCAGTTTAATTCTTTTTGTCTACAAGTTGATGATTGGAATCTCTAAAATTAACAGAGAAACTCATCCGAGAAAATGCTTTTGAACACAAGAAAAAGAAACCAAGGTTGGGTTAAGTTTAATCCCGGGTTAAGCACTAATCGGCCTTAGAACAACTGGGCCCAGGAGTATAAATATGTTTAAAAAATTAATCACCGTCCAACCATTATTATTATAGAAACAAGACAAATAGTGATTTGAGGGACATACATTACACTGATTAACTTTCAATTTCTTTCAATAACATGCAATAATCAATAAATCTTAAGCTTCAAAATTGCAGTCCTTGGTAACCTGTACAGGGTTTTCACTAAGATTAAGTAGGTGGCAAAATCTTTGGAATAGGTGGAGAAGGAAAAAATGTGCGGCAAAGACGTGATAAATGCGAGCACTAAAGGTGCAAGCTTCTGGAAAAATTTTGAAATCTAGGCCTCTTAGAATGCATTTCCAGCATTCTGGAGCAAAAATTAGAGTGTTTGAACAAAACACAGACATCATTAAATTTTTTTGACAGCACATGAATATTTTGTAATGCTTGGGTAAAAGTAGGTGGTGAGCTCACATGAAATAGCCGGTGAATTTTGCTGGCCACCGGCACTCATTGAAAACCCTGCCCATATAGTCATCATGCCTGACTGAAGGGAGGATTTCGCTGGACACGAACATTTTTTATGGCACACATGGTCTGATGAGTGACAGTTGTAACAGCACTTTTATTTTTGTAAGAACAACATATACCTGAGTCAGGGAAGTAATCATCTATGTTATCAAATCCAAAGGAGTCTTTTCGGGCATCAATGTTTAAGGGAACACCAGTACGCCTGTAATCAATGCGGCAAGAAACATTAATCAGTCAAGAATTATTTCATTTTCTTAATACACTATGAAGGAGCATTGGACAAAGCCCGAGGAAAGTCTGCATGAGAGGCTACTGAAATCAAAGTACTTCCACTCTTCTGGTCAAGGGCAAGTTGTGTGACATGAATTCTGATCTGTGTTTTCTTTTGCCCAGACTTTTGACCAGTTGAAAAAATTAAATGATTTGATAGAGCAGTGATTTTGTTACCTCTGCGTCCTGCGTCTCCGACACATAAAAATCTCCAAAGACGCAAAATAATTTGTGGTATGCGTCCTGTAAGACGCAAACATAGATCATTGATCGATCTGAAGATGTTTCTGAAGAATCTCCTGTTTGCATGATTTCTGTGGCTGTTTTCTTATGGCTGTTGTGTAACAACACATATTTCATTTTTTCTTTGTTTTTCTTGACAATAGAAAGAGGATATTTGGAACCTGTCTTAAGATTAACTTACTGTGTGGTTACATATATAAATACCCAGGGACCCATGTTTTTGAATTGGGACTCCATGGTTGTGAACTGGGACTCATGAATTTTCACAAGATGAGTCCCAGGACTCACCATGACTATTTGTAACAAAATCACTGATAGAGATGTACACAGGCAGCTTGGAAGAAGAAATCCGAGTACCCCCAACAGGAGTTGAACCTAGTACAGTCAAACCTCCCGTAAGCGACCACCCAAAATGCAAACACTGAGTGGTCGCTTACAGGAGGTGGTTGCTTACAAGAATCGAGCCACAGGGGGCCTCTTACGCGAAGAGGTCCTGGCACATCTACTTTATGCAAGATAATTTATTGCTTGCAATGTATAATGTATTATGACATGTGTAGTGGCATGTTGTCCCTAAAGTTCTTTGTATCTTCTAAGTAGAATAGTGCACACAGCGAACATAGAGATCAGAGAATGCGTTAAGTGGTCGCTTACAAGAGGTTAAAAACAATGGAAAATCATTAACTGTCAGGCCCAAAAAGTGGTTGCAGTCGCTTACAGGAGGGGGTTGTTTAATAGAGGTTCTAACTGTAAGGTTTTGACTGGGAAAATTTTAGTGTTTTGGATTGGTGGTCATTTATGGGAGGTGGTTGCTTACAAGAGGTGGTCGCATATGGAGGTTTGACTGTATGACTTTCTGGTTAATAGTCCAGATGCTCTCCCACTTAGCTACAGGAGACTTGAGGGAGCCAAGGCCACTAAACTACAATCAGCGACAAAATAGACCTATTTGGCTAACTCAATGTTGTACCCAATTCAAATCTCCCAGGGTTAAGATTCTTTGTGTATTGTATTTGCAATATAATGTGGCATTCACATTTAAATGATATGGAAATTCCTGAAACAAAACGTTTTAACCCCAAAGGGTTTGAATTTGGTACAACATAGAGTTAGCCGAATTGGTCTATTGTTGAGACATTGTACTCAAATAGGGTACCGTAAATCCTCTATTAAGTCCCCCGGAGGGGCTTATTTTTTTCAAGCACTTTTGAGGGGGGGCTTAATAGAGAGGAGGGGCTTAAAAGAGAGGGGGGCTTATTTAATTTAGTAAAACGCATCACCTATAGCAAAAATACCGTGGTATGAGCGGAGTAGACTTACGCGTTGTACAATTAAAGTCACTGTCAAAAGTATTTATTTCACTTGTGGGTGCCTAAAAGTAACAAAAACAAAATTCTTATTCTTCAAAAATGTTCTCTGCAGAGAACTAGAGCGCAAAGTTGAGAAAGTTAAGCCTATGAAGTTGGAGGTCATACGGCCAAAGACCAAAAACAATATGAACTTTCAGCCTGGATAAACCATAACTGATCAGTCAACGTTAATCGTCAATTTTTTTTGTGAAGAATACGGATTGGGGGAGGGGGAGGGGGGGCTTAATAGAGAGGGGTGGCTTATTAACTTTCCTCCTCTAAAAAGGGGGGGGCTTATTGGAGAGGGGGGCTAAATAGAGGATTTACGGTAACTTCAAAGAACAAAAGAATCCACACCCCTCTTCCCTACCCTCCATTCAAAGTTAGGGTGTTTGTTGTTTTCTATAGGTAACTCAAACAGTGGCACAACATTGCATGGAGGAGATGGGGGAGGGAAAGCTTTACATGTATTTTCCCCTTTTGAAGTCAGTAAAGGCCGATTTAGACAGTTTGATTTTTTCTTACAAGTATAGCACTGTACGCGACTAGCATACTTCAAGACTTTCAACCATCCACACGCCCACAATTTTCACTTACAACATCCACAATGTGTTGTTTGAATGTCGTGGGTCTAATTTACACGACTCGATCTGTTGTGAAGTCATGATGCATTCTAGTAGTAAGCAAAAATTGTACCATCTAAATCCGCCTTAAAACATCAGAATGCCTTTTTGGGGCGAAGTGTGTCAACCGATTTTGTCGCCGATTGTAGGTTCATGTGACAAACATCCCACATACTGCTTTTAGTGGCCTTAGCTCCCATGAGTCTCCTGTGGGTTTCAGAATCCATCCAGTAGGGGTGCATACAAAAAATGGACTTCCCTGCTCATCAAATAAGAAGCACAAAGTAGTAGTAACTTATCTGTCAACTATCAGTTTTTGAAATGATTTCCTATCACTGATTTTCATCGCCAGACATTTATTACTTAAATTAACTCAAATAATTAATATCTCAAAGAAATAGTACTATTAAGTTTAAGTGACTACCAACCTTCCAATGCATGGATCTTGGAAGGGATCATTTGGAAGATAAAAATCAATGTGCACTGTAGTATTTCTTCTAGCAGCCTAAAAGAATAAAACAATTGACACAATATTCAAATCAGCCTACAATATGAGTTACCAGGCAGCAGCTGAACTGGTGGCCTTGTGAATAACTAACCAATTATCCAAAACACTGACTGTTAGGATCACTAGCTCAGAGGTATTTGATCATGAAGTAACCGATCGCGAGCGAAAAATCGGTGACGCAAAATCCTGAACACAGTGTACCTTTACTTTACGTGTCACTGAACAAATCTTATGCAAATACGGATCGATCGATTCGTACGATCATTTGTCTCCAGCCACGAAAATTTGATTCCCTTAGAAAACGGAACTTTGCAATGCACAGGATAAACTGTTAAAGGTAAAAGCAGAAAAACTTACAAAACTGTAAACAGACCTTTGCTGCAGCCGCCATCTTGATTCGAGCTAAGTTCAGATCAAGAGATTCATTCGACGATCTGTTGCCAGACGCTGCTCACAAAACACATTTCCACTGCCTCTTACACATGCACGTCGGACTAAAACAATCGAGGATCAATAAAAAGCTGTTTCGAGGGTCAAAACTTCGCAGTTCAGACTTTCGCGCTCGAGTCGGTTGAGAAAACCACAACACCCATGATGCCTCACTGCTTAAGAAGCATAACGCTGAGATGTTCGCACGCGGGCTTGAACTAAAAAAACATACGCACACTTACGCACAGTCAAAGGATGGATGAGGATTGATAAATTTTATGATGATTTGGGATTCACACGAGCCGATTTGAGGTGTCTAGGAAAAGAGGAAGAGGAACTCCCCGACTTGCTGCAACTGCACCACAGGTAGACCCCTCTCTTGGGATTAATCAGATCTAAACGACCTAACCTGCAAGGACAACTGTCTCTGTTTGTGTGTAAGATATCACGAAAATAATATTGCTGAGTCGAGATTTACTATCACCCTTAATAACAGTTGTCAGTTTATTTTAAGGGTAAATTTTGATTATTGTGTTTTAGCTTTTGTAAATGATTTTTTTTTAAATTGTTGTATTTTAACTTTTAATTTTAATAGTTGCTGTAATCTAGGCTAGTTGTTTTTAACCCCTTAAGCCCCAATATCCACATACAAATTCTCCAAACTGATCTCCATACATTTCCTTTAAGAATTAGTTGAGAGAATTTGATGCAGATAAAAGCATTTTCTCCTTAGTGATCATTTCATAAATTCTCATAACCTAATCTCTTGACAAGGTATGAATATTGTTGGGAGAAAATTGATGTTGGTCACCATTGGGACTTACAGGGTTAACCTCTTTTCGGGAGCTCTCGTGATCATTGATATCAGTATTTTATGCTTAGTCGAATCTCAGTAGTTAACCACTACAGTCCATGGGTCGAAAGTTGGTCGATAGTCAGCTGTTACTTCGCCAACAGATCACTGACAGACCATAGACCAATACTTGGTTGACATGACGGCCAATACCTTTGTTGACTCTCAACTGACACTTGCCTGATACTTGTCCGATATAGCAACCAATACAGCGACTGACAGACAAGATGTCAGGCTGATACATGAAAATAGCCTATGATTTGCTGTCTGATCAATCCAGTATCAGCCGCTGCAAATATGGGTAACAGGCAATAGTGTCTACCATGTGTTAGTTGACAGGTATCTTGTAGTAAATGGAGAAGCCTTAGTGATGAGGTTGGAAAAAAAATTGTACAGGCTATGCCAATTGTCAACCGATACACCGCCAATACCTTAACCATACTCTACTGATGGTTCACTGATACATTGCCAATACCCTACCAATGCTATAGCAATGACAGTCCATCAATATATTAACCAACACTTGACCGACCCTCAGCCAACAGTAAAATGCCACCTGGCTGATGAATTGACCAACTCTTGATGGACACTCAACCAATATAGTGACCAACATAGTGATCGACTGTCAACCGAGATGTCGGCCAATACATTGCTCAACTCCCACTATAAGATACATGATCCATAAATTGCACAGAACCTGCAGTGCTGACTGTGACTGTGTTCAGTGGCATGTCATTTGTAAGGACAAAAATAAAGTACCCTTGACACCCGTTCTAGTATGTTAACCCTTCAATTCCCAATAGTGACCAAGATCAATTTTCTCCTAACAATATCCATACACTTACAAGAGATACGTTATGAGAATAAATAAAATGATCACCCAAGAGAAAATGTCTCGATCTACTATCAAATTCTCTCAACTAATTCATTAAGGAAATGTATGGAGATCAGTTTGGAGAATTTGTATGTGGATACCGGGGCTTAAAGGGTTAAGTAAATACATTGTGGCAATTGACCCCTACTAATAATTTTTTTCTTCTTATCTAGATACGGTCTCTAGGTGGTGGAACATGTTTCATCCCTTACCATGGACTGCTTTTGAAGATGACAAAGCTCACTTCTGGGTCCATTATGGCCTCTGTGCATTTGCCCTCTTGTTAGCAGTAGTGACATTCATCGCTCAGTGGACAAAACCAGCTCCTTATGGACGACATGAAAAATCTGGCAAGTCATGTGGCCCTATGGTGCATCAGAGAATAGCCCACACAATATCTGATGCTATCCCAGGGGTTCTTGTTTTTACCCTGGTATTCTTTTTATATGGCCGTCAGAGAGAATATCCGAACATAACATTCTATTGCTTATGGCAGTGTCATTACATTCATCGTGGATTTATACACCCCTGGATTATGAAATACAGCAGTCCAACGACCCCGATTGGAATACCACTTGGAGGGTTCTTCCCCAATCTCCTTTACAGCTTTCTCAATTCTGATTGGATTGGGGCAGCAGATTACAGTGACGATTACTACAAGGACCCTCGGTTTATAATTGGCATAGTTTTATTTGTGGCAGGCTTCATCATCAATCGCTACGCAGACTTAACACTTCGCAAGCTAAGAACAAACTACAGTGAAGGTTACTCCATTCCACATGGGTGTTTATTTGAAGTCATATCATGCCCTAATTATTTTGGTGAAATGCTGGAATGGTTTGGTTGGGCTTTAGGAACCTGGTCTCTAGCCGGGTTAGCCTGGTTTTTATTCAGCAGTGCAACATTTGTTCCTCGTGCCAGGCATAATCACCAGTGGTATAAGAATCAATTTCCTGATTATCCAGCTGATCGAAAAGCTTTGCTACCATTTGTATATTGAAAAGACAGAATAGCAAATTATTGTGAAAATTCCTTTCAAATTACTGGTTGAAGCAAGAAAGTGAAGCTTTGGAAATTGAAAGCCCAAGGCTTTGTGTACTGACAAATTGTGAGTATACAAATATTCACAATTACTCCACTAAACATTGAACTGGCAATTTCTTTCTGTCAGCAAGGTGCAGATCTGTCGTAACCGATAAAGTTTGGAAAAACGACCTGTTAGCAACTCATGAAAAAAATGAAAAAAATTAAATTTAATGAGAGTTTTTAAATTTGTGAAAATGTGACAGCATTTTTATACCTCCAGTTTTCTGAGAAAAATATTATTATCGTAAAGAATAATTGATAAGATCGAACAGATCTAAAGGAACAATTTTTATACCGTACAATAAACTCACAGTTTAATGTCATGTCATGTTGAAAACTCTCAACTGTGCTTTGTGTTCTTAACGTGGTAAAACACTTCTGCTATTTTATTGAACTGTACGTACTTCTTAAATAAAATATCTGCAGAAACTTTGTTGTTTTGGTCATTAAAATTAACCCTCTTGCCCCCCATTAGTCAGCTATAGAGATATGATCCCAACGGAATGTATAAGATTCAGGAGAACTGCTCACCCTCCCCTCTCCTTATGCAACATTTTGCCCCAAAGTGAGAAGCTAGTGTTAACATCGGGTTAGGGGAGGGGTAGGTGGGGAGTGTCCCAGAATCTTATACTGTTTGAAACACACTTTTGACTTTTAAGTGTTTCCACAAAATCCTCAAATAAAACCTCTCCAGTAGTAATTTTTCTAGTGTGCTAGGTTAGTTTAATTTAGCTTTTTTCGTGTTCATGGCCCAGGAATAATAAAGATTGGGATTTTGCTGGTTGCTGGTAATAGACCCAAGAATGGGGTACATGACCGAAGTTTAGGCATGGCGTTTCTGCTGAGGATTTGAAACCTTGAAATTGGTGAGGACCAAAAAACACCAAGATAACTACCTTTAGTGACCACCCTGTGTACAGGCCGGGGACAAGAGCAGTTAATTTTTAATCCAGCCGAATTTCTCGTATTCGCCCAGTAGAGAGCTACCCCATTAAACTGAAAACTTCCTCTCAACTCAAAATGTCGCATTTATTGCTTGTGTGCAGTGGACAGCCAAGAAATGTACCAAAACGTGTGATACACACGTGCAAAGTTGTTGTTTTGGTCATTAGATTTGACCCAATGATTTTTTTCTACACAGTCTGAGTGAGTCGTTGCCGCTGCTGTCGTGGGTTTTGCAAACTCCTTACCTTGACACTGCTTTACACGGCTTTACTGGTAAATTTTCCCGAAACTCCAGAAATTCTGGCTATCGAGTTAAATAAAAGGGTTTAACATGCAGTTCTTCACAAAACTTTACGTACTCGTGCAGTGCTTGTTTTTTGATTGGTTAACAAAAAACAAACGATACCTAATTAGGAAAATCTTCGTCGCCAATATTCCTTGGCGCCAAAAATATGAAGTACACGCCACGTTGACAGCGAAAACTTTGTCATACGGAGAAAAGGAAGTTTCAGAACAGAACGAACTGGCACCGTCCTGCTCTGGTAAGCTTATTGTTGTGTCTTTTTTATCACAGTGCTTTCAGCTTTGAGGTTTCTTAAATTAATAATGATTTTGAAAACCTTGGGTAAAGTTTTACGTTGAGCTACAACAAAAGACCGCCGCAAACTCCTGTATTAAAACGGGAAATCTTTACAATTATTTTGCCAAGCAAACATTTGTCAAGTTTCGTTTACATACACAGGAGCAAAAAGGCACGACTTTGCAAGTTTTCCTAACCCATTTCTCCGCTTTTAAAATGGTTTGCTTCCACAAGACCTTTTTAAAGAATTTATTTGAAATGTTAATTAACCTCTTGCAAGTCCCAAATGGTTTGCCTAGAGGTGTATGTGGTAAACAATCTTTGTTGGTTTGCTACATAGGCACGTGCAGTAAGAAAAACCAATCAGAATTATTATTCAAATCAAAACGTTGCTCCGCGCCACATTCAAAAATTGGTAACTTTAGTTATAAGAGCTGGCGAAGGTTGCTCACAAGGAAAAACAAGACGCTCTTGTTTACTCTGCCTAGCCTTCTTTCTCAGCTTCACAAAGAAAGCTAACTGTGAACGAAGCAGTTTGGGAGGTTAAAACCAGCGCACGACTGAGGTAAATTATACTTGTGTCACTTGTTGAATTTATCGTCTGTACGGTGGAAATTTGTGTTTCGACGAGTCCAACGTAAAATTAAGGTATTTCGTTGTCGAATGTTCTTGTTTTAAACTAATTTGTTTTCAGGGGAGAAATGGCGAGTAGCCACGAAGCCAAATGCCCACTTAGCAAAATTTATTTATAATTTTTTATCATTCTGAAAGCCCCGTGTAGTTGAACACGTGGCCGTCTAAAATACTAGCGAAGCTCAGTGGAGTTTTAGATAAAGAAAGTAGCCTAGCAAATCATATTTTGCTCTTCATCCAAATTCATATTGGTGACACAGTCAGTAATTCACCATTAAAAAAAACGACAAATTTGATTCATTTTCTTTTCCGGTATACAACATGACAGAGATTTTGATGAAGTTTAATAACCTCGCCGGCAAAAATATGGCCACAGTTCCTACTTTAAATAATATCGACCAATAAAAGCTGTAACGGAAAGCCTCAAAGTTTGCAGAAGTTTTTTTTAAGTTTTTTTTTCCCCAAGAATTTAAACAAACATTTATACTCAAAAGAATATATTAAAAGTACCTTGCACTTAAACTTAATTCAGTAAGGATAGGAAAATGTGACTTGGTACTTTTAATTGTTAACATTTTTAGTTGTGCAATTTCGAACACTGAATGCTTTTTGTAAACTCCCAACTTGAGTTTTCGCTTCCTCGTGTACAACTACTATAACCAGGTTTGAATATCTGAAATTTATTGAGGTTGTGCTCTGTCTTACGTTGGATGAGATGGCATGCGCTTACATTCAAACAGGGTCGGGTAAAAAACGAACCGTAGTTAAATGAGTGAATTGACGAAACAAGATACACAAGCAACTTATAGTTTTAAAATAGTTTTAAAAGGTTACAAACGATTAATAATTAGACAATTGACGATTAAATAGATTGAAATCAAGAATTACTTTAAAACTACCATAAAGTTGTACGACAGTGATCAGTTTTCGCACAAGTCAGATAGTTTTCAATACATTTGGCCAGATTTCGGCTAAATTGCCCTGATAATTTGTGATCAAACCTTGATTCCTACCTCATATGATGTCACTGCATCACGCGCGATCTCTCGCGCGAATATATTCCCGAACCTGGGTTGTTACCATGGTCATGAACATTGCAATTTACGCTCTTGCATTGCTACAAGTACAAAAGATTCGAAAAGATCGTCAGCACAGCCCTGTATTAGTTTGATTGAGTCTTTGCAAACCTTTTAAGGGTATGAGAGTTTTCAACTGTAACTGAATTCGAAAAATAAAGTATTTCAGTATTTTTTTTCTTCGTTTCTCTTTACGTAGCTCTCTGAAGCGTTTAGAGCCTTATCACTATTATTTCCTCAGCTTACGGCATCTTTCTAATTTTCAGCCGTCAGACCAGACAATCTTCCTTGGTCAGGCCTCCAGATTAGGCCATGAAACCAGACCACATCAGCAGCCCATAAGATGATCCGCCCCAGATCAGACCACCACATCAGACAACCGGACGAGTCTGAGATCCAACCACACCATGCACCAGCTACCACACCAGACCATTGTCAGACCAGACCACCAAAATCAGCCCATCAGATCAGACCACCACCGCCACACCAGACCACCAGAATCTGCACAGCAGACCCCATCTCGTGAAATGGTACAGGTCAGGTGCATTGTTTGTGGGTTGGGTATAGGGGGGTATATAGAGCTCTGGATGAACCTTGCAAAGCATACTTTCCACACACGTTCGGCCTCAAGTTTTCGGACATCTTTTTTCGGCTTAACTTAACTTTAGTTAGATTAGTTAGCGGGTGCCCCGGGCTGGTAAGGGCCTACCCTTCCCTTTTTCATAAGTTGGGTTCCTTTGCAGGTGTTCGGTCAGCAACATAGGTTCGGCTTTTAGGATTCGGCTCGGCTCTTGGAAAAGATTCGGCCGCGTTTTTTGCGCCTTTCTTGGATGGATTCACCGCCGGTTTTCGTCGTCGTCGTCGTCGTGACTGCAGTCTCCCGCTTAGTTGCGCCAAATTCAATTCATCACACTTCACTTGATAGTCATTGCGCTGGGCAAGTGAAGCATTCACTCGCAAGGTTCAACCAGACGGTGATTATTTTAATACGTAACTTAGTAAACTAGAGACGTAAGACCATCCAGCTGCATGCGGTGAGAGGACCTCATTTGGCCTCCGCTTACAGGCTCAATGGTCTCTCTGGTTACAGGTAGATAGTCAGGTTAGTCTCGCAAATTCGAGTCTTATCCTTCCTATACCAATTTGACTTTTCATGTTAAGCGATACGAATGCGAAGCGAAAACTTTTAAGTGCGCGTTGATTTTCAGACTTCGAACTTGTGAGGGTAGATCAGTTGACAGGTTTAGTCTTACAAAGAAGGTAATTTGCGACTGGGCGTTTCTTCCCGCGAAGAGCCAACACCTTATTGCAGGTTGCCAGGGCAACATGGGACAATCCACACACCACAGGCTAGATCGTTTACAAATCGTAAGCGTAGGAAGTCTTCGAGACCAATCTACGACGCAGTTTCATCGCTGGAGGAGCACGAACAAGCCGATCGGCCTTTAGGCAACGTTAGTAGCCCGCGAAGTAATTACGAGAATGCTACTTGGCCGAATATTTCGGGGACACACATGTGTAGGCCCACCATACCTTGATATGCGTGTCCCTGAATGGCATTCAGGTGAAAACCTCGCAGGTTATAGACAGTCTTTCAGTAAGTAGCAGGAGAGGATACTCTGGCGTGGCATCGTTGACATTTAAGACGATTTAATTTGTCTTCTTGTTAATTTTGCCTTG